TCCTGCCTCTCATTTCTCCACTGGCCGCTGGATATGCAGAACTTTACAAGGAACAGAAAAATTTTGCAACATTAAAAAAATGTGGCAAAGAAGAATTTTTCGGTCTCCGTGACTTTTACAGGTTTGATATCTGAGAGCATATATTTTACATATTTTTAGCTCGCTTCTTTAACGATGAATTTACTTGGAAATTATGTGCTCGAAGTGATTCACCTCTTTTTTCTCCTTACGCAAGCCTCATAAAGATGGTGTACGCAATCGCTGCAAAATCTCAACAGAGACCTCGATGGCATGAACTAGAACACGCTATTAAGAGGAACTTCGGTGGCCTGATTGAAGGAGACCCTGTAGAGATATTCAAACGCTACTATACCGAAAAAGATGTAAGTTGACGTACAGAAGAATATTAAGCTAGTGTCGAACTTGTTTCTACATTGCGTTCTCTTTACTTCATTACGATACACCCAGTCATGAAGCACTGCAAAATGGTCAATTAAATCATGACCATACAGGGAAACTTCGATCCATGGTATTAACAGGGAATTATTCACATCAGATTTAAGGGATTTTTTATTTTTACCGGGTTGATACATGTATGTTTAGCTCGGAAATTGAGCGAACACTAGGGCATGATCTAATTATTTGCTTAACCTGACTTTTTCCTTGTCAACGAAGGATGACTTCGTAGCCGAAATCCCCACAACAATAAGATTGATCGAGGCAAGTCTTGGAAGGGAAGACGTAGCAGATAGAGCCAATTTCAGGTACATGTGTAGTTCATCCCAACCCAATTTTTTATTCCTTCGTTTGTTGGTTCGTATAGTCGTTTATAAGTAGCTGACATAAAATAGTGACGGTGTAACTTTTCATGTTAACTAAATGTCTTTCAGTGAAAACCGTTACCTTCTGATTCTGACTGAAAACTACGCTGCCTTACCCATCATGCAGCAGCATCTTTTGAGAACAGCGGATGATGCAGTCGTCATCTTTGGAAGTAGTTTTCCTAATGACCAGGAATACACTCAGGTAAAAATCATAGGAGGAAAAACTATTTTTATATCTTATGACCTTGGTAATACTCCGCTCAACTTCAAAAATAACACATTACTGTTAACAGAGTTCTATTAATTACAGTTTGAGTCGGTGTCGACATTTCCTGATACTAATACTTACTTGTCTTTGAGTTAGCATGAAGTGTACTCAGGACTTACTATCAAATGCTTTTAGAGATTGTGGTAGAAGTAAACAATGATTGCTTGAAAACGTAAACGTATGGATATAAAAACAAATTTTGTTATGAAGGAATTTAATTTCATTTGCAAATCGAGAGATTATTGTTCTGGTGTTCCGTACCGGAGTCCTACAGTAAATGTTTAAATGCACAACTTACATCAATAACTTGATATTCAGATTTGTCGGAACATCAATCGCATCAAGGTTTGTATGGAAACAGGGAGAACAGTGATCCTATTGAACCTTGAAAGTCTCTACGAGAGTCTGTACGACGCCCTAAATCAGGTATGAGATATCCGTTGCAAATATTGTACATTTTGTTGTTAACATTCGCGATGCCTCTCTTCGTTGGGGCCAAGCGGAATGTGCTCTACCTTGTATTATTATGTTAAAAAGTATTGTAACTATTATTTTATATGTTAAGTCGTGTCTTCAATAGTATTATACATGTGCTGAAGTGGAAAAAGGCTTGGAAATGTTAAGTCTTATTTCTTGCTATGTTGTATTTCTAGTATTATGTGTACCTTGGAGGACAAAAGTATGTGGATCTTGGGCTTGGTACTCACCGCTTCAAATGTCGTGTTGACGATGGCTTCAAGTAAGAATTTTGGCTAATTACCTACAATAAACGTCATGATTAGTTGATACATCATGTTTGAATAGTGCTATTTATGTTTATAGTAACACTCCTATCTCTTCCTCACTTTAAATCATTGACAAGACCCCTCCCCATTCAATGTTACCCGTATGTAGCTTAAGGTTCATGGAATCACGCTTCAACGTTGTTTTGGGAGGAAGGGGGCGAGTAGGTTAACTTGACAAGCGCAAACGAGATAAAATTGAGGGGGTTAAATAAGGCAACGTGTCAACAATTTTGTCGCTGATTGTAGATAATCTCGATTGTTACGAACATTTTATTATTATTGGGTCAAAAATTGTTTTTTTGTGTGTTTACTGGTGAGAAAATTCATTAAAGGGAGCAAGAAAAAAAAAAGGCCAGTCAGAAAGCATAATAAATGTAGATGTGCTCTTCCCGTTGTAGTCTCCCTCGCAGCCGTTGCCTGATTGTGTTTCAAGGACAATTCAGAGCCCTAGTCGTTTTAATCGTCATTCGTTTCTTCATGTTCCTTCACAAACGCAGTGCCAGTGAGCCATATAGCCTTAACCTATTGTTTTCATCGCTTTGAGTCTTAGTCACTCTCCCTTACTCAGATTAATCGTGATTGCTGAAAAAGATGTGGTGTACAACAACTTTCCTATTCCGTTGATTAACCGCTTGGAGAAACACTTCCTTGTGACCTTAACAAGTTTGACTCCAGACCAGAAGGACGTGGTACAGAAACTGCGGACTTGGGCCAGTGAATTTGCCGAGGTTTCGGATGAAGGCAGACATGGCAGGTGATGTTACAAAACAAGGGTTTCGAGGCTTTTGTTATGAAAAAATTCAATGTTATTGCGTTTTGCAGTGTTCGGAATGCTGCGCGATTTTAAGTGTGCCTTGTGCGCAAGATTTTTAAAAAACTGTTGGCTTTTTCTCAATCCCAAGAGACGCAATTAAAAATAGAAATAAAGTAAAGCATATGGAACAACTATTCATAATATTAACATTTTTTAGATTGTGGGATATTTTATTTTAATATTTTTAATTTGATGTTTGATAACAGGGACTTCTCCATCGGAGACGCTTTTGTTGGATTTCACGAGGATACAATTCCCTCCATTGTCATGCAAGTCTGTAATGAAATTGAAAGGGAAGACCACTTATCGGCAAGTGATGACACAGAGGATACATGGGAAATGAAAGTAAGCTTCATGGAAATGTCATTTTAAGATACATACATCTTGATGGCTTCCGCGTATTTAAATGAATGGGAAATTTTGCCAATTGCATAAATTTTTTAATCCGTTCGCGACACTCGCCAGTACAGCGAGCAAATTCTGCTTGAGTATGGTTAACAATTGGTTTGAGGATTAATGATTTGAACATTATGTAATTTGGTTATATTTTTTCCTGCTGAATTATTAAATACTTCTTGCGTTACGGATTTCTGATTCTTGTCGATCACCCCGAGATGCGTGCGAAAGATGAGACATTCAATGCGACTCTTATTTTACATTCTTTGCCTGCAACATTAATTAGGCTTTTGATGACGAAGATTGTAGTGTTAAGTACAGTTTCAGTCGCAGTAGACCAATAAAGTAACGTGGTAGGTGTCTTTTCTCCCACTCACAAGGTACTTCGCAGATCTCAGATGATCCTTTTGGAGATGGCTACACCTGATGCCATTGCTCGCCTTCCTCACACTGCTTTAGAAAGACGAGCCCCTCATATCTGGGATGCCTACTTTAAAGAACAACAGCACTCAAGTTTGGCGACTTTCATGTCGCACGTGCTCAATTTGGAGGATAGACGTTTTGATGAAAAACGTCAGAAGGGGCTCTTGATTCAAGTTAGTGATGGAGATACAATGTCCTTAGTTGATCGTCTAGTCTATAGTTTGTTTCTCTCTTGAGCAAGATAGAGGACTTAAAAACCACATAAGCAGCAAAATTTACAATCCCCAACAGTATAGTGAAACTGAAGACCTTTATCTTATGCAAAGTCTTAAAGGCGTTGGAGTACACCCATGAGTAATGTCCCATCATTAAAACATGTTTCATTGAACCAGGTTTAACCGTAAGAAAATCAGCAACAGACAACTGGAGAACTAAATTTACATAGGGCGGGCGTAATCACTAACTTGTAATTTTATTTCGCTAGATTTGAAGTTGAAAGAAGTCAGGTTAAGAGTCCCTAACTTAAACCGTGTTTCAGCTTTTTTGTGAATGGGGTATGGCTGTCCAAACTATGTTTTAAGTAAGCACGAGGAGGTTCATAATGAGGGCAAGGAACATATTGGTGATGCTAAACCTGAAACTCGACATGCATTCGTCTCATGCGGTTGGTGATATCATCAACTGACATGAATTGGGCAAATAAACAAATCAGCGATGGCTCTTGCAAGACCAAGGATATCCATATTTGTTCTGTGTTTGTTCGATTTGGTCATTAAATGGGCTGGTTTTCATCTTTGTGTTAGGTTACTACTCACTCACGTCTGCTCTCTAAGAACGATTTGGCAGACATATGCAATCAAACTGGCTTTGAACGGTCGACTGTGGATTCCATGACACTTCAACAGTTTCAAACGGAACAACAGTTTAGGGCTTCAGTCAGGTGAGAGCTTGATGTAAATCAGCGAGCACAGATTGTGGCACAGAATCCGTTATCTGTTAGAGACCAGCTAATAAAAAGGCAAAAATATATGTTAAAGAGAAGGACCTTGGGATATTGGGATATTATTAAGTTTTGTTTACGAGCGTTACTTTTTATATCTATTTATTCGATAAATTTCCACTTTGGATAATAAGGCATCTCCACTATTAGAACCGCAACCGGCATGTTCTAATCATCGTCTATGCGAATTTTGTCCGTGGCTAAGACATTCTTAAACTGACATTTACAGCTTAAAGTGTACCTCACCTTGTGCGTCTCAAATAATTGTGTTACGATGTATACTTTTTTTTTCTATACTGAAAGGAGCCTTCATCTTTTTCTCGCAGAACCTTTTTTGAACACCTTGGTGGAGAATGCCCTGGTATTCTTTTGGTTCAGTGTGATTCAGGAGATGAAAACTTTAACCTGATTGCGGGTGCAAGACACATTTTGCTGGAAGAGCGAACAAACGCCTCTGAAATGCTCAACTTGTCTTCGTGGGAAGCTGTCCACATTGTACTGATCACACAGCTGCCGAGAATAGCTGGTGGATGTCGTAACTTTGTCGGTTTCCAGGGTGGAAAGTGGATGTCCGTTCACATTGATGAACTTCGTCCACCTGGTAAGCACACTCCTTCCATCGAGCAACTCATCGATCGTCCCATCAGTGACCTTTTTAGTGGAGACCGCATCGAGGAAGATGACTCCATGCCAGCCGTGACGGTGGCGGGGAAGCTCCTTCGTAATTGTGTACAGGCGGCTGCGTGTAGGGTTGATAGCGAAACGGAATCAGCTGAACGGTCAACTCAAAGGATTGAGCTGCTTTTGGATTTACTACCTGATGACTATCAAACTCAAGAGGGTTAGTAAAGAGAAACAATATGACCTAAAATAATTTTATAAAAGATCACAAGTCTTTCAGTTTAAGGAAAATAACCTTTCAAAAGGTTCAATCAAAGCCTTCAGGGTTTTAAATTTGTCTTTCTTCGTATTTGGAAGACGAATGAAAAATCTCCAAATTTACTTGAATATTGCAACCATCCAATTGTACCATTAGTGTTATCCTCTAAAGATCTGCAGAAATTTTCGGGAAGTCATTGATTAAGGCGCTCCTTTTCCTGTAAATGAAAACATTTTTTATTTTCAACAATAAAAGGTACACAAGAAGTGGAGACTTCTATAGATTGGCGAACAGCAGAATCGCTGTGGTAGTGTAAGAATAATGCACCACCTTTTTACAGAGGTCGTTGTGATATAGAAGCTACGAAAGACAATTCATTTATACGGCATCCCAAAGTTGTGACCATCTTCGTCTCTGGTGTCGTCAGGGAAGCTGCGAGAATGGCAAGGGTGGATTGATTGGGTTATTCACTGCTTAAAGCGCGGAACCTCTTTAATCAACAAAGCAATATTGGATTGGAACGAGCATCAAACTTGCAATCTTTGTTGATCCATTAAACCAATTCAATTTTGGGGGCGCAGTGCTAAAGGACTTTTTAAGTGTTATTAAGAATTGTAGTTTTGGGGGCAATAGTTGAAGGAACGTAACGTTGTGTAAAATGAGTTGAAAAAGCCAGATCTAATTCAGCAATTGGTAGAATTCAACTCCTCAATTTCACTATTTTATTAATTTGTTAAATTCTCAATCCCATCTCTTTTAAGATGAAGAGTCGTTTGCAAGCGTGGCGGTACAAAGAACATACCACCTCTTAAAGGAAAGAGAACAAACAGCGGGAAATCCACGTGGATGGCTCCAATCAGAAGCTCTGTCGGGAACAGGGGTGCAAGAGTGGGGCACCTTTAGAAAGGCTCTTCTGCAGCGAGTGTTCTCAGTTGTGGTTCCTATTTTGGCCGAGATCATTGCATTGGCAGACAGAGACCGCAATTTAGACTTATTGAAGAATGACAACACGTGGGTTTCGAGGGTGTGGCTGAAGATCTTGGCCGACCGTAGCATCTCAGAGCTTAGTTACAGTGACATGATATCACCCGCTACTAATTCTGTTCGAGAACGTGTTCAAGTTTTTGGTTCTGGGGCCGGTGGTCATCGTTTTTCCTGCCGATTTCCATTTTCGTTTATTATCAAGCAACGCATGGAAAAATTGTTAAAAGACGCAGCTAGCGTCGAAGGTACATGAACTACTTTTTGCATTTTTTTTTGCCTATTTGTTTTCATTGTTGTCTTTCTGTTTTATATAAAAAATGAGTCACACAAAATAGTCACCTTAGCTAAGATTTAGTGTATGATCACCAACATATGAGTAAATCGAGACTGACGACCACTATTGGTGCAGTCTTATCCAAAATTTTCTATTGTTCACGAAAACATGAAATGTGCTTAAAAATCCAGGTACGAACATAAAACAATTCACTACAAATAAATTGTCAATCATGGGCATCTCGGATATGCACTATATATTCTGGTGTTCAGGATGTCAATGAGGTAAATTGAAGGACTTGATTTAGTTCTGTATAGCAACCGTTGTTTCATGTATTTTTTTTTTCCTCGGTTGCAGCTCATTCTAGCGCCACTCTGTTAGACTCTCTTCGTGAATTGATCTGTAACTCGCAATTGGGACCTCCACTCCATGAATTGCGCCGTCTGCACTCCGCGGGACTGCAGTATTTGATGGATTTTGTTCACATGGTGTACAAGCCTTCTAGCGATGTGGAACACGAGGTTTCTTTTCTACCAACAACTTTATCGCAATATCAGATTTCTTTGGAGAATAGATATATTTTCTTTCGTAGCGCTTGCTTAGGCTCTTCACCCGCATTCACGCGCATCCTTTCCCGTGAGAGATCGTTCTGATAATTCATTTACAGACGTAAGCTATCAAAAACGATGCAAATATATCGAATATGTTACACAAGAGGGAAGTTGACCTTTTGGAAGAAAAGTCAGGAAAAGTCATAGAAAAATATTAAGCTTTTAAGTTGTGAGATGATGCTCTCTTTAGCCCGATTACATTTAAGTCTGCCTTTTTTTCTTCCATTCTTTCAGCTTGTTTACGAAGCGATTCTTTCGTCAGCGAGAGAAATCGTTACCCTGGAAGATGAGGATGGTAGCGAGTCGATTGATATATCACTCGTTCATGTTGCACACAGTAGAGTTCAACACCGTTTGAACTGTTTTGATACACTCGTCAGAGTGAATCCAGATCTGGTAGCAAGACTACGGGAAACTCTTCAAGGAAACGAGCCAGAAGTGGTGAGTTTAAATGCCTAATTGTGGCTGTTTTTAATACGGTAGTTATAGGTTCATCCTTATTGTAATGAGCTCCCAATTTACTCGAATATTTTAAAGCATTATATAAACAGAAGCTTAAATTAATAGTGATTATTAACATAATTTCTATCACATTAGGCAAAACGTTTCGCAGCGGTGTCCTACACTTTGGACAGGCCAGGTTATTCTATATGTCTTGTTTTATAACTGAAAATTATTACGTGTTTGTCATGGTGTGGTCGTCACAAGCGCAAAATGAGCCCCCCCTCCGTTTCAGGTACAACATTTGGTATTGTTTAACTGTTCTGTGAGATGTTCTTTCCTGTAACTTTTTGAATTTTTTAAATTTTTACAGCTTTTGGATGTCATAGCATTGAACATTTGTCTTGAGGCACTAGAGCCTTCACGAGAGATGTTGCTTTCTCCGGACACACGACGAACATGGTGTGACAGAGTTTTGTCTATAAGGCCGGCGGTGGAAGACATGATAAGGAAAGAGAGGTTTGGACCTGTCACGGAGAAATGTTCAAACTATGGAGAGAGATCAACAATTATGCTTGGTCACTGCAGGTAACAAAAGACCAAATTTTCCCTTTTTGAGGTTGGTTTTGACTGTGACACAAGCAGAAGCCGACTAAAGGCTCTGCTGCGGTCAGTTTAATCGGCAGACCTTATTGGTAAGATTTTGTATAATCAGTCAGTCATTCGCTCGCTCCGTCTTTTATGAGAGGATTTTGCATGTTGAATCAGTTGGTCTTTTGGCCAGCCATGTGTTGTCATCAAGTGAATGTACAACCTCCTCAAAGAGGTATTTACCAGTCATTAAAGAGGTATTTACAAGTAGCAGTCATCTTTGTCCAAGCCAAGTTGGAAATTTGTTAGTTGGGAACATATACCGAGGTTGCGCATTTAAATGGCAGGAAATGATTGTAGGTATTAAAGATGACGCGAGAAAGCGAATTTTGCAAGGCTTTGGCCCTAGTAACTTTGTCGAATTCGATGGTGAAGGTATTTTTGCTGCGCATAAACATTTCTTAAATGTTATCAACGCAAAAAGTTGGTAGTGTCGTGCTTTGAGGGGTTGTCTAAAGGACCCGTAGAATGTATTAGAAAGCGCATGTAAATAAGGAAAGTGCTGCTAATTATTAAGCTATTTCTTTCTTGGGTGGATCAGGTCCATGTGGCAACGAACAGGAGCTGTTCGACTCTTTGTGGAGCACGTGACATTGTTTGCCGAGAAAGATAAAGATGTCAATTCCGAGAGCGCGACCAGCTTGTGGAAGGTAAGTCAAAATTAGGAAATGCTAAACGGAGATAATCAACCAGAAATTGAAATTCTATAATAACAAACTGCTCTCTTCTGAAGGTTTTGGGAGATGAAACTGACTTTTCATCGCTGAGATCGCTGCAGGCCATTGAAAAATTCTTGATTAACTACAGTGAAGACATCAAGCAGAGGTAAACCGGCACATTATGTACAATTTAGTTGTTACTTTTTTTACAATATAAGGCCTTAGTCTTCGCAAGTATCAGAGACTACACTATTGATCAATTTACCCCCGACACGAGTCATCTTTGGACTCACCTGTCACAAAGGTTTTAGGTAAATAAGATTTAATCCAGGCTAACCATCTCCGGATATTTGTCTGGTGGTACTGAACTACTTAACTGAAATTGAAAGCGGAGTGAGATTTAGAGATACTTCAGGGCTTGTAATTATGGATGCTGTCATCGGCCTGTGGCCACTAAAGTTTTAAATAGTGGTACTGCATCAGCCACGGCCGACAACTTCAGGGAATTTGGTGGGGCGAGATCACTCGTCTCCTAGCTAATTGTGCGGCCGAGGTTCATTCCAGACCATGCATCACACGAGAGCTTGCTTTGTTACTGGTTCTTGCCTTTGCTCTGCGGTTTTCTTTTTTGTTTTGGTTCCTGGATCTTTTTCCCTCCATTAAAAACAAAACTCCAAAAAGCGAATCCAATATGATTACTTTGTGAAAACATACTATGAATATTTTCACAGAGTAATCATAATTTCTCACAGCTTTAAATGCTAAAAACTAAAGTTATTTTTGGCTGATGGCGGGAAACCATGGCCCAGACCGAAGCTGAAGGGGTTATCGAATATGAGGTTTAAGAAATAAGTCTACTGCTATGCTGGTACCTATTAATGTTTTATTTATGACCGTAGGACCAATGAAGAGACTGTTTCTGAGTTACGTCGCCGATGTAATGCCTTTTTCATGGAGCTGGTGTCAATATTCTGTTTCGGTGACTCGATGTCAAAGGACCTTGAAAAGGAATCTATCTCTCTGCTTATGCGTTATGTTATCGGTCATCAGTCAACTCAGACAAAGGATTTCTCTCCATTCCCTGATTATGCTATTGACCCCACCCCTGTGGTGCGTTCATTTCTTCTCCAGCAGCTATTGCGCTCAAGGTAAAAGCATTAAGAAACAATCTCTTTCTCAATTAAAGCACTCTCACTTTCCTGTGCCTCTTAACATGTCTGATTTTCTTTCCTCTTATCTTCAATTCACTTTAAATTGTCCAATTAATGAGGAGATAAGTATATACTAAATTGTCTTCAATTTTTAAAATAGTGCGAAGTTTACAAAGTTGGTGAAAGAACAGCTGGGAGTTTTCTTTCATGGGGCTCGGAACTTAAAACCTGAACCTTCGCACGTCAAGGAAGTCTGCTTCTTATGTGTCCAGTGCATGGAGGTATGTAAATTAAACTAATACTGTTCTGCGAGGGTGAGAGTAGTTCAACTGGAATTAAATTTACTCTACATACCCGAGATATTTCGCCACGGGATTTCAGGGAATAAGGTGAACGCACGCACACGGTACACGAGCACGTTAAAAAAAAAGAACGAGCTTCAGTTTAACACGTTAGCTGCGTGTAAGTTACTTGCCTCATTAACTTCGCAGCCATTGTCTTGCTTCGCACGGTAGAAATAAAGGAAAATGTTAAGATCTCGCTCGCAACTTTGCACGATATAACATGGTGACCGTGCCAATTTTATAACGCGTTTCTTAAAGTTAAAGTTGTTCTCGATTTGTACAAGAGGACGTCCCAAGCTTGAAAGCTTTTTAGCTCACCGATATAAACATAACATAAAGGAATATCTCGACTTGTTGTCCATCATTTAAAACTTTGTTTGAGTTTTTTCCTTCCTTTTCGAATTCCTCATTTTCTTAAAACAGCTTGCAAAACACGGGCCGAACGAGCAAAGTCCTCTGCTCTTGAAATCGTACATGAACTTTTGAAGGTAGCAAGCACAAGCTTTTAAAATAATAAGAGCGAACCTGTATGATGCAAAGCAAACGGCTTGAGGGTAAATTGTGTTCTCACCGTGTTTGTCTGTTCTGCTAGTCTCTGAGGCATTATTTATTTATACTGTTAAATTTGTAAACCGACAAGTACAACAGTCCGTGTAGTGCAGTGGTAACGTCATTTTTTTTTCTGTCTACGGAAGGAGTTTACAAAATAATAAAATGTCTAATATACCTTTTCTTATCAACAGACAGTCTATTTCCCAAACTTTAAGCGTTATAGATTCCTTTGACTGTCGTCACCTGTTTGTAAGTGCATTATTTTGGGCAGATAGATGATTTTCTAGTTTGCGTTTTATGTCTTCTCTATTCTCTTAATAACTTACAATGTCTACCTGCTAGGATTAGCTGACATCAAAATAACTCAGAACGCGGTTTTGTTGAACAATGGCCAAACTCTGTTCAGTTAACCAACCCATAATGTTTTTATGTTAAATGGTAGACTAATAATATTGTGCCATCTCATCGTTTTCAAAACAATCTAGTTTTCTTAAATCTGTGAATAAGAGTCCTCTTCTTTCCTCTACATTTCGTATTAATGCGAGCGGCTATCTGATTCCTCTGCTTACTAAAACATGGCGAGTCAAACTTTCTTTGTAAAACGGACACAAGAAAGCCTAATTTTCTGCTATCCAACCGCTGGAAACCTTTAGTTCCTGACGTGTTGCACCTCGCCATCTCGTCAAGATAAGCTAGCGTGTTAAGAAAAAACAAAAAAAATCTAGCGTGTTATAGAAACAAATCTCTACCGTGTTAGCCAGATATCATATGAACAATGACTACAACACACTTTCTAAAATCAATTCTTTTTATGCGCATATTTGCACAGTAAGCGTGTCATGCCATTAGCGTGCGAGCGTGTCATAAAGTGCCGTGTGCGTGCGTTCACCTTATAAGAAAAAAACCAAAATCTAGCGTCTTATAGAAAAAAAGGTCTACCATGTTAGCCAGATATGAACAATGGCTACAACACGCTTTCTAAACTCAATTTTTTTTATGCGCATATCTGTACGGTAAGCGTATCATGCCATTAGCGTAAAGCGTGTCATAACGTGTCGTGTGCGTGCTTTCACCTTATTCCCTGAAATCCCGTCAAAGGTTACCTATTGAGTAAATCGTACTATCAAGTCCTAGCTGTTCTCATATCTAACTGCCTTTTTCTCAGGACATCCTTATCAGCCGTTATCAAGCCAAAGTGGCCGATTCGAAGGTAACAGTAAGGCTCAAACATGCTAAAAAGACTTGCGAAGAGGCATTAACAGCTCTTAGGGCCAGTGACGAGGATTCTGCTGAAATGAGCGCTCTTTCTCTGGATGGGGTTGCTAAAGGACGTTACGTTTTATCACTGGTGGTAGAGTACCTTTACAAGTTGTTCATTGAGGGAGATAGCAGCTACAAAGACCTTGACGCCAAGAGAGAAGTGATGTTATTATTAGAGTCTACAAGGAAGCTTTGCATGGAAGTGTCGAGTTCGACACCGCAGCTCTACCTGCTTAAACAGCTTGTCTGGCGGTATGGCTTGGACTGTGTCCGAACTCTGGGTGAATATAAGGAACTGGCGTGGATTCTACCTCCAGAGGCCAGACAGCAGGTAGACAATGCATGATTAATGAATGGATTTCGTTAAATGTGTGAGAACTGAATCATTTTAAGAAAAGTTGTATGCACATATCGTAAATAGTCAGGAAAGGAAAACTCTGGATGCAAGGAGGATTCAATTTTGGTGAGTTCTGACTTAGTAGTCAGGTGCTGTACTTACTGTGAACATGAGTTAGTGAGCTAGGCCATTTACTATGAGAAGTAAATTGTTCTGTACTTAACAAATATACTTAAATCTCTCAAAAAAACCACAAGTGTTTCCAAAGCGCAACGGTTGAGGACTAAAGGCGCGAAAGAGAGGAAGAACCTTTGAAAATTTAGACTCTTTCCGTCCTCTTTTTTTACTGCTAATGGAACAGTTCTCTCATATGTTTGAAGGCAACAATCTTTTTACCTTTTACTTATGGCAATAAATGTTGCTTGCTATTGATCTTTGCTCTTCGATCTGTAGGAGGAGGATGTAATCCAAGACAGGTTTATTGTTCATGGAAACCATTATCGTGCCGTCCGTGAGGGACTGGCCAAAACTGTTATCAGTGGGAACATCCAAGACATTGTCACTGCCATTACGGTTAGTGTTCACTGTATATTATTTTTTTCTATTGTACCGTTTATCTTCTTTATTAATGAAAACGTAAGGGTGAAGGCTGTGGATTATTGTGGGTTATTTTGAATTGTATCAACTCCAGACATTCAGAAACGACACAGATATGTTTCACACGTGATAAAGGAATTTGATGACTTACGGCTTCCTAATACAACTTCACGGTTATACATTATCTGGTGAATAAGAGAAAGATGTTTTTCGTCTTGTCACGAGTGTGGGCCAAAGAAAAAATTTTGAGCATGGTAAAGAAATGGAGAAAGATGTTTTTTCGTCACGGAGACTCAGAATTTTTTCTTTTTCCCAGGCTCGTGGCAAGACGAAAAACATCTTCCTCTATTTCTTTAACGAGCTTAATACTTACCATCTCTCTTATTTCTCTCTGCTTAATTGTTTGCAATGCATGCTCAGTATTTCATATTATGTAATTTCCTGGTCATAAGCTTTCTTCTTCGTTGGTCGCTTTCAAATTTGTTTACATCATGCGTCAGTTACATTATTCGTTAGTGGTGCAGCCCCTCCTAAGAAATATGCTGGATCCACCCCTTGTGGATTATGAAGACAGTCTTAATAATTTGGTGTTATCCACTGAGTTGATAATGAAAATTGGTCACCGTTAAAATTTTATATTTCTTAACTGATATTTCGAGCCTTAGCCCTTCGCCATTCGCTTTGTCGCTCTGTTTCTCTAGAAACTTACCCTCTTTAATCAGTTAACGTAATCTTAGGAGACTTAGAGGTTAAATTTTACAGTTTTACATCTCACAACCATATTGGTGAGCAAAATGTAAGTACCTTTTTAACAATGAAGGCTAAGTCAACCATCGAACATCTTTTATGAGAAGTTTCCATACAACTCACCATTAGAACTTTTGAAAATTTTTTCTGTAGGAAACAAGTTTACAAGCTGTCTCTAAAAATGTAATCCTCCTCCTGGTAATATACCGTGAAATAACGATGGCAAATATTTCTCCAGTTCAGACACAGAATTTGTCTCAGGAGGTAAGGAAAAGCGATATACACTTTCCAAAGAAAATTTTAATTCTGCTCTGTATGCTTAGTCGTTCTTCTCCCTCCCTGATTCGACACGCTCTTGCCTGCTGCTTTCAGAAAAGAAGAAAAAAGGAATAACCAACAACGGTTTGCGCAAGCAATTCCAAACCAGTCATACAATTTTTTTTTTCACTCACCTAATGCGACGATGAAGATTTTTGTTTGAGGCTAACCGGAGAATAAAATCACTAAAACGGAAAAAGGTGCGGAAATTGCACCTTTTGTTTTGCCTTTAACAGCGATGTTTACTTGCTTCAATAGACCAAAAAACAAAAACGCGAGGCCTGACAATAGTCTAAGTAAACCAGCCTTTTCACGCACTCTCGACATCGAGCGGTGTCTTCATTCTTTTTTTTTTCTTTTCTTCTGTTAGCAGTGGAACAATTAGCGAAAAGCGAAATCATTTAAACGTGAAAAGGTGCGAAAGACAAATAGTCTTCTTGCCGATCGACGTAGATCCAGGAGCAATTGGTTAAATAATTGTTAAGCCATGCACGAGGTAAATTTAAGCAGAAGTCATTTTCAAAGAAGCATAACGCATAAGGCATATTAAACTGAGATAATGCATAGCAGCCGCCCCTTCTCATCGTCTCCAGCTACTCACCGCCGCTTGCTTGCTAAAACATGAGCTAAAACATAAAATTACACGGATATAATACAACAAGCTGTATTCTAAGTATTAATTATTTTACTTGACGACTAAAATAAGAGTAAAGTACAGTGAGGCTGAGTAAGGCCGAAACATGCGCGCGCGGTATGACAAAAGTTTAGTCAAAGCAGTTAGCGTACTCTTGAAATTTACTGACGCACCCCCTGTTGGTTTATCTTTGATTTCCAAAGTAGGCTACCGTTGGGAAAAAATGTCATCAGTGACAATTTGCCGACTGAATCCGATTTGACTCGAGTATAATTTCGCGAAACCGGACGGAAAAATCCCTAAGGCCAGCGAACAAAAGGGTCGTTGTCTTAAAAAATTTAAACCCTAACAATAGGCAAAGTTTGATATGTTTTTTTTTTGTCAGGTGAGAGTAAAGCTTGATGATTTCGTAAGAAATGGAGGACACCTAAATGAAACGGTAAGAACAATTAAAAACATGCGCGCATGTTTTCTGCAAAATCGATTGTCGTTGAGGTGAGTCGATAAGAAAGGAACAATTACAAATTTTTTAATTCTTGATTTTTATTTCAAATGTTGTCGACTCGTGTGAAACCAGAGGAGTTGGTAGTTGTATGAAACGAAAGTCAACGCTACCATTCTTTTCTAACTCTCTCTATCTTTAGGCTGTTGAAAGGTACGTTTTCTGTTCGTAATAAGCTATGCGTATCATTTAGGCCCGACGTTTCGCCAAGGAACTTCTTGAAAACAAACAGGGTGGAAATCTAAAGGAACTTCAAATCTACAATGGAAAGAGTCCGCAGGAGCACGCCTTGACCGAAATTGTGATCCATACAGTAGTAGCTTTGCAGTGCGTTGGTGAAGCATCTTTGGCTCAGCCCCTTTATGCTCTCTTGACTAATCCATCGACTATGAAGGTATGTATACACAGATATGTTATCCTTAGAAAAAGTGAAATTTTTTTGAGCATAGGTCAAAATGATAACGACAACGATAACATCTAAGTTCTATTGTAAAAATAGTAAAGAGCAATCGCATGTCTTGTTCCACAGTAAAGGGGGTAAGTTTCTAAATAACCTGTGGTGCTGCGTCGGTGAGAGAGTATAACAGGGTAATTTAATATTATGAACTGAGTTGATAACGTTAATTGCCCACGGTAAAGAGTTTTGAAGCTGACGTTTCGAGCGTTAGCCTTTCGTTAAAGCCCTTCGTCATTCGCTCTGACGAAGGGCTGATACGCGAAACGTCAGCTATTAAACCCTTTACGGTGGCCAATTTACGTTATCAACTCAGTTAAATATACTAAACTACCCTATTCTACTGTAGTTTACTGACAGAATATCTGATTTCTCCGTTGATCTCCTGGTACAGAATTCTTTCTTACCAACAATGCCCGAGGATAACTATCTCGAGTGCATGAAGGTCATTGCGGAAACTATGAGAGGCACTGGTCGGGTTGGAGAATGGTATGGTAAGTGTCTTTTTTTTTTCAGAAATGTTTACGTTGAGATTTAGCAGCTATATCAAATAAGAATGTACAATTCTAGTGTTCCAACGAGAACTTTGAAATTACTTCTTACGCTTTACTTTCTTTCAGAGTGTGGTAATTGCAGATATGTGTATTTCATCGGGGAGGTAAGGAAATATATAATTTTTTTTTTGATATGGACACTAGAGCCTAAAGAAGACACGAAATACTTTAAACTAAGAAAACTAAGCTAAACTTCAAGTTTATTAGTAATATGAAAACTTTCCCTTAGCAGAATACTGGCTTCAGGTAGAGGGAAAGTAGCCAGGATTCTGACGGGGGAGAGGGGTGAGGGTGGTGGTTCAGAATTCCTGGAACTCCTATCTGAATCCGCAACTGACTATCATAGACCAAGAAATCAAGGGTTGCGCTCGTATAGACTTGCCACAGTGGGTAAGGGAGAGGGGTGTAAATACGTTGCCAATTGCCCGTTGTCCGAGTAGGGAAAGATCTTAATGTACTTTACGCATAGTCACCGGTTCTCATTGTGCTAACTAACAAGGATTTTATTTTCTTGGAAATAGTGTTCTAAACCAATGCAGCAGGGCAAATGTCCAGATTGCGGAAAAGTATTGGGAGGGAAGGATCACGAGTTCTTAGGAGAATACAGAGTTTCCGAGAAGTAATTTGAAGACATCTTATTCGAATAACTTAATTATTTCTTTCTGTTGTTGGGAAAAGATATTTTTTTTCATCACACATTGAGGAATTATTTTTATCAAAAAGAGGACCTACGTTGAGATGTTTTGGGTATTCTTTCGTGCAATTTGAAAGACTAACTTCACCAAAAAGGATACTAGAAAATGGTAGCTTGGAGAAAGAAAGTAATAAACCAAGAAAGAAAGAAGATGTTTAAGGATGAAACAGATTACAATGGATCAAGAGGACGTAAACTGTGTGGTCTATATTCCCTGAATGGATTGACAAACTTAAAAATTTAGTCTTGCTATAGCTATGTTAGGCTATGAGTGAGTGAGTGAGTGAGGGAGTATGTAAAAAAAACATTCCGATCTTGACCCAATTTTTTTGACCCATGTTTCCTGGTACTTCCTATCGTTTCATTTCGTTTCGTGTCTTATTACTCCTGGTTTATTGCCATCAAGGCATAATGTTTTAAGTTCGTGACACCACACCAGACGTATCTATTGCACGAACTTTTAAGCGCATTTGATTACCTAAGTGGTATCTACTTTTCAACTTTCTATCTCTAGGAAAGATAGGACTAAAACTGGCCATGCACTCGGAGAACCTGGCTCGAGACCTTCGAACGCAGAACCTCAGAGAGACATGCCACCGATAGTGTGCAGTTTGCTGAGGATTATCATGCACTCGGCTATGGTCATGGGAGCATCCAGAGATCCACAGGTGATTAGTCGTTATACACAGTCGGCGACTGTCAGAAAATGAACTTTCTGGTAACTTTTTTTACTAGCCACAATCCCTCTGAACCCCTGTTTTGATATAGATTTGATATATAGAAGAGGAGCATACGGTTCACGCGATATTTAGTTTGACTGACCTGTTTTTAGAGTGATAGGAAATCTCAAATTAAAATAATGATGATAATAATAATAATAATATTAAAATAATAATAATAAAGAAAAAAATAATAATAATAAAAAAGTCTTAAGGCTTTATTTACAGAGGGTATACAAAGCCCAGCTCAGAGCAACCGAGAACAAATCCAGTGAGTAACAGTGTGGAGGTCCTGAACCCGGGACCACTAGATTCAGTCCAGTTTCTGGGTGGAAATAACTTTGTCTAAAATCTGATTGAATAAATATCCATTTGGTTTTAACTAAGGAAAGCAGCCAAGATTTTTCTCATCGATCTCACTCTTGGGTACAATTTAAAATCTTCGATTTTTCTTCAAAGGCAACCGCACAGCTGATCACACCTTCATGCTCGTCGCAGTCTGTGGGACAGTTTTTATGGCAGCACTTGCAGAGAGACCTGGATGTTCTCAGTAGAGCAATCGGGTGCAGTGTTGATAACGCAGCTCTGACAGTTCATCTAGCGTTACAGCAGATGATCTCGCTAAATGGGGGAAAAACCGGTACAAGCTTTCACACCTTAAAATTATTGTAAAAACACGCTTTGATGAACAGGCAAACTCTCATCAGATGGACTCCCATATCATCAAGGATAAATGGCTCTATTCTTTACCAAATCGTGCTTTAGAAACTGGAAATTTGCACTTTTGTCTTGTCCGCAAGCTCTAGCCGTCATCATAATTTAACTATGACCAATTCCGACGTTAAGGAGTTAATTAATTAGCTCTGGTTGCGAATTCTAAAAAAGTTAACGTATTGACCTAAGCCCTCGAATTGACCGAAAATTAAATTAAGAACTGGTTCGAAGGTATGGTTAAATGACTAGTAGATAAAAGATGATACCATAATTTGGTTGTAAAATTAGAAAAAGAAAACAAATGGCGCACGAGTCGCTGATGTTGCTGAATATTGTTCGTGATGAATTGGCGAATGGCAGCATAGTAAGAAGAATCAACTGATTCTGATGACGTCATACTCACTTCTGCCTTCTCCTTGATCAAACTAAAAAGCGAGTTCAGCATATTGTACAAAAATTCAGTATCTCTCTCTCTCTCTCTCTCTCTCTCTCTCTCTCTCTCTCTCTCTCTCTCTCTCTCTATTTTGCTATCCAGTTTGTTTGTTATTGCCCAATGTTCTCATTTCTCTCCGTACTCTCCAGGAAATAACCATGACATGTGTCTTCAAACCCGGGAAAGTCGCCGCAGCTGGGAGAAAGCTTTTTGCTCTGAGATTCTTGTTCCTGTCATCACCGTACGTACTCTTAAAATTGAGTGATTTCTTTTGCTTGTTTCGCTAATTAGTTTGCTACATACGATCTTTATGCGTATAATAACATTCCAGTGTTATTCTTATTTTTGCAATATCTTCCTAGCATCTTGACGAGAATCTCCAAAACGCCTCAAGGCTTTTGATGGGAGACGAGAGATTTGGTACGCTATTTCATATTACTTGGTGATGCAGTAAAAATGTGCGTTAAGCTTATGATAGTACTAGTAGTAGTAGATTGGAGGGCTTTAGTGTACTCCCTGAAAGAGGAGTTACCTCAACCTTAGCTGGTAGTGAGCCGTATTTTTCTGGAGACATCTAAGAAACAGGTTTTACAAGTACTTTTATCGTTGAATGACTTTTTTTTTTTACAATCTTTGCTGAAGCGTGCACAGTTAAACTCTGGCGAAACTGTTGAATACGAGCTTGGTAGCAAACAGAGTCTGTAAAATGAGAAGAATTACCTTACGTTGATATTTATGGTTGGAGGAGATTGACTCAGCTCGTAAATGACAAATTTTCAATATCTTAAGGCTACACTTTTCAAGTGAAACAATTTTTCACACGTCTCCGTATGGTGTCCTTTTCAGGAAAGGATCCACTGGTACGTCAACTTTACGAGTTCGATGAACAGATGGAAGACTTGTCTCAAGGCGTCAGGCCCATGTCTCGCGCTCTTTGGAAGTACAGACACCATATAACTGTTGAGGAACTGAGTAGCTCTTTTCAAAAAGAAGTCCTATCTGGTGGCGGAGGGAAATTCAAAGTGTTGGACGCTTTTCTCAAACAGGTAGCATCAAGATATTTCTGCAAAGGGTTGGGATTCTGTGCTACAAAGGAAAAAAATTTCCTTGTAATTCAAACCCCTTTTTTTGCCTAAATTTCGGGCAGTATCTGCTCATGAAAAACCGAAGGGAGTCGGCTTTTTAAGTCTCTATCTTTACATGCTTTTTCTTTTTCAACAAATGTAGGAACACAAGTTGCGTTTCGTTCAGTTTCTGCCCGATGTTGTCCGCCTCCAGCGTCTATTGATGGACAGATTCCACCGAAGAATTGACAGAACAGATGCTGAGAATTATACCGTCCGTGAATTTCTCAAGGACCTTCCCAAAGGTACTTAATAATTTACAAACCTGTATCCGATATAGCCAATGCCATGGCAATTGTTCAATGCAAAAGGTTGATGTTTTGAGCTGCTTTTCAAACAGTAAGCTGCAGTTAGCAGGTGCACCTTTCCCTGTTAGTTTTTTCACAGGATATTTTTGATGACGAGAATGACGGGGTCAAAGCTGTAGCATTTCTACCCCTTGGAAATATGACTGCTAAATTTCAATTTTGTTTTTTTATTCGTCAAGAAAAATTTCCATGGTCAGAATTTTCTTGGGAAGTCTTGTCGGGTCATCTGCGTAAGTAAATTGCGTCCTAGATAAGATTTTGCTTGACAAATCTCCGTGTTTGACATTTTCCGTGCGACTTCTCTTGGATAGGGAATTTTTGTATGAATTTTACTGAAGAGAAAGTTGCCAGTGTAAGTACAACTGTGATGACTCTTGAAGTAAACTTTAATTCTGCTGAAATCAAATTTGTCTCCAGGATCAGTGAAAGAGGAGTATACGAATCTTTTCAAGAGTTTCAAGAATGCTTGGAATGCTTGCAAGTCATTTCTCGGTGATCAAGGTACAATAATTGTTCCGTTTTTCCAGGGTACATGGAAGAAGACTTCAGTGATTCTTGTGACCAAATTTAGTTTTTTTGTAATTAGTGTTTGTGAAGTTTCTTAATAATTTATGTGAGCCCAGCGTGGTGAGATAAAAAAGGGCCAAACTCATGAGTGATGCTAAATTTAGACTTTGGTGGGGAGTCAAAACTTAGTCTTGAAATGATATCTCGAACATTTGAATTGGCGATTTTTAAAAAGGAGCACACTGATTTATAATAAAGGGGTCTTTTTTTTCTGTTATTCCTTTTATCAATCAAATTTTTTTAATGTGGTTTTATTTCAACTCAGACACAAATTCAGTATTTTCGTTGATTGTTTGCTCTAGCAGTTTTACCTTACAGTTTTTGAGTATTCTCATCTGGGTCTAATTCGTCTTTGTCATTCTTTACACTCTAAGGTCGCCTGCGCGTCCCACAAGACCTTTGTGATACCACGATGGACAACGACTGTCCAATCGCGATGGTTCTCCCCTGCACCACCGGGATGGGAGTTTGTTCGACCTCGCTCACTTTCTTCCTGGTTAATGCAAATAACGAGTCTCTGGGAGCCTACCGTAGTGCAACTAATCAAGATAGGTACATAATTTTATAATGAACAGCTTACGTGTTGCTGTTTTCCTCTTACCTTCTATAGCAGCAAATAGTTGATCGACATGATCTGACTCGAGCTATGTAAAGCGTGGATAACGTTTTTCTATTTAATTTAGGTCTGGGGTGTTTGTCAAACTGACTGAGCTGTAACATGAGACTGATATCAGCATCCTGCAATCAGTTATCGTCTCCCCCAAAGGCAGCTTTAGAATGTGAACATGTCATGATTTGGGGCTATTATTTTCGAGAATAATGTACATCGGAAAAAGTTACGATGTCGATGAAAATCATTTGCCATCAGTCCTGTTTGTTCTTGGATAATTACCAACTAAGCATAGCGCACTAACTACAAACAATTACAGTCATTATTATACATTCAACTTACTATCTCTTTTCTGATTGGCCTAAAGCCTTCAGTGAATTTTCGAAATCAGCGCCTGGGACGTCATCTAGCTGCAGATTATACAATAATCATGTCAAGGACACTCAAGGTCATGGTTGATCATGTCCTGTAAGACTACACTGCACGATTTCTAAGGGTAATCATGTCAAGTTCGTGCTCTTTGTGTTGCTGGCTGATTTGTATACTTTTACACGTTTAGAAATAAATTATCAGTTCCAACTGCTGTTATAACCACTTTTTTTTTCGTTCACGTATGATAAAAACAATAATTGGATTCAGCTTTGTAATATTCAGAACAACCATGGTCTTGGTAGGGTTATCAGCCTCATCCTTCGGCTTCGGCTGATAACTCCTATCTCGACCTTGATTATTCTGAATATTACAAAAACCTCATCCAATGATTGTTTTTCAGTAAGACCCAACTACACATCTTATCTGTAATATTCTTTTTCATTTATAGTCCCTTGGAGCGTGTCTACGTATCAGAGGTGACCTTATCGCACTTAATAGCTTATGATCCTGAGAGAGACCTGCTGCCCCTCATCCTGGCTCATTGTAACTACTCTCTGGAGGTGGGACAGGAGACCTTAGTTCACTATGATTGGGCGGCTCTGGAGAGACAGCTGATTGACAGGTTGTTGAGGGGAAGGCCTTTTGTCGAGTTCAAGGTAGGGTGGAAGTATTTAGAACACATAGCACATGATGAGAAAAAAAGCATTTTCAGTTTTTCTGTAAAACTCGTTTTCACCGCACAGAATGTATTTATTCTCTTCATTCTCTTACTGAGTTTGCTTCATCTTACTGCAAACAGTTTTAATCTCATTTTTTTTATGGGCACGTTTCTCTTGTAAAGATATATCTTAATCAGTCTCAATAATTTCAGTTGATGGATAACAAAAGCTTACTTATTTTGAAGTTTCAAAGATGGGACTCCCGTGACAGATAGTCAGAATGGAAGTTATTTCGTAGGTTAATTTGCATACTGCTTCAGTTTCTGGGAAGTATGTTGCAAACAACGGTGTCAGCCCCTTTTCCTAACACTTTGTGCTATTCATCCTTTTTTACCTTTCTTTGAATTACTTGTCTTACTGGTCAGCATCTGATAACCAACAATTAGAAAAAACAAAAACAAAAAATAACAAAACGAACATTCCTTTTAAAGACGCATTTGGAGCTTCGTTATGACCATCCCTTCCCAACTGGAAGAAGAATTGCAACCAAAGTAATTGTAATATCTGACAGCGCCTTTTCTTCTTTTGTTTCAGGACGAACGTTTTGCGTTCAGCCGAGACACCCGAGATGACGCAGTTTTCACTTCACTCACTGGAAAAATTCCTCAGGTAAAGTTCCTAGTTCCCTTTTTTTTTCGTTTAAATATGTACATTTAACCATTGTACTGTAAAGTTCTAGAGCAGAAATTTGCTTTCGTCTTAGTTGCAGTGATACACCTTAGAAAAAAATCGGAAGGTTTGGAATGTTTGAAAAGGAGATTTGGTGTTGGCGGCTGTCTAATAACGCTTGACTGGCGATACAAACTGAGGGTTTTAGATTGGAAAAACATTTCAAATAACCTTCATTTATGAAATATGTTTTTTAATTTATTGTGTTCTTTTATCTATTTTCTCATTTACTTGTATCCTAACTTTTTTTACTTTCATTGGGAACGAAATCTTGCTTCATTTTTTGTTGTTTTGTCATCTAGTCTGTCTTTGATTGCATTTTTAGGAAACGGGTTTATAACCACTTGGATCCGTCTTGACCACGGAAAGAGCAGTACATTCCACTTTCTAACATGATTAACTTTTCCATCCAGCAGTTTCAGTTAACGAAAGCATGTTTTCGGCTCTGAATTGTTTTTGCTACGTCGACAGTAATATATTTATCACATAATTATGATGTTATTGTTTGCATTGGTGTGGTCAAGATCCAAGGCACTTACACCAAGTGTTTCTTTGAAGGAATCCATTTCCCGCGTCGTCGAAAGTCAGATTATTAATGATCTGCGGTCTTCCTTGTCTGATGTCTGTGATGTTATGTCGTCGCTGGATATTGCCATTGGTTTTCTAGCCTCATCGGGTGGCCAGCCGGAGAGGCCTTTAAAATGGTACTTACACGAGGTGCTTAAGCTACCCAAAGATCGAGGTCTCAAGAGTGCAACAGTAAGTACATTTCCCCTTTTTATTTGATTCACTTAACCCTTTAACTCCCAAGGTCTCATTAGTGATTCTCCTTTCTGTTTCTCAGACAGTTCGTGGGATGTTAGCTTGTAGAATTTGGTATTGGATCAACTCATAATCCCCTAACTGATATTTTTCTTTATTCTCATCACTTGTTTGCGTGACATTGTATTGATATTGTAAGGAGAAATTCTGTCTCATGGGAGTTGAAGGGTTAAGCTGTCATCCTTTTTGACTGGTGCAAAGCTCCCAACACTAATATTTGAATCAAAATGTTCGTGTTTGTTGTTACAAGAACTTATTTCTGGACGCCAGAGGTTTTGTAGCTCTCGAACGATGTGTGAGAGATGTCTAATAATTATTTTCGATTAGTTGACTAAAGGAGAAGCCCCGTTTTCGACTGTTTGCTCCTACGCCAGCAATTGTTCTATGTAAGAGTGCTTTGACTCTTGTATAGGTTCTTACGGATTATGCCATCTCGTTGCAGGCAGAGCAGCACTGCAGTTTGTCCCATACCCTGGCATTGTGGCGGCTTATGGCTCTCGAGAGAGCAAAAATCAAGTCCAGGAACAAACAAGTTAGTTTGAAATGATTTGTGGTTTAATTTTCGATCTGCGTAATTTCCGTCATTTTTTTCACGAACCGTAGCACTTTAGCATTCGTTCGTTTGCGAATATAAAGAACAATTTCAACTTCGTTTAAAGTTTGACAAGTGTTTTTGATATGCTGTACACGAGATGTATACCTCTACTTTACCGCAAGGTTATCAAAGGGTAGTTTTGATTTGAAAGGTTTGGTGAAGTGTGTCTGAGCTCGTCAGATCCACTTTAAAAAAAAACCGTTTTCGGGAATTTCTTTTTTCAGGAGCCTTTTGAGCAATTACTTGACGTTTTCAAGGAAAAACTTAGCTCGAGCGAAAAGACCAGACTAAATCGCATGTTGCGAAAAATCGACATGGACATATTTCTGCCGCAGCTCCTGCAAATTATTCTTCTGAATGTCAAAAAAGATGGCGAAAGGATTTCGACGATGAGGTAAGACAGGCTATTCGAAATGTCACATTCTTTAATGCGTCAATTAAATTAGAACCAAAGTCGTTATTCCTATCTTGCACTTCTTTACAGTTGGTTTCGTAACTTTAGGAAATAACGCCTTCTCTTGCAAGTGTGGAGTTATGACGCACAAACCATGATAGCCACGAGATTTCCTTGTTACGCCTAATTTATAGACTTTTGGCTTTTAATAACTTTTTGAAGTAATACTATTTCTTCGGAGGGATGATATCGTCCGTGTCTTTTCTTGTATTTGAACCGAAGGTTCCAATGATAAACACTTTACTTCGTCTTGTCGTTCAATTTTCCCTAAATTTCCTCTCTGATTCAAAGTTCCTTTCGTATTTTGTAAAAGAGCTTGTTGTTCAAGTCCACTCTCAATTCTTTTTAGCACTGATATTTGAAATGTGAATTGAAAATAGTGAGATCCTGATATTGCTAATTGCTAGGGTAGAAGAGTCAGTTTACGGCACTCTCTCTCGCAGCTTTAGAAATCTTAATTTGCTTGTGAAGTACCATAGTTTTACAAGTCTAAGATACAGCTACAAATTTATTGCAGCTTTGAAGAGTATTTGGATTGTTGTTTAGCCGACAAAGGCTTGGAACAAATCCCAGGAACTGAGAACATCCCGGACAGCATCAAAATGGCACACCTAAAAGACGTTTGGAACTCCGCTGTCCAGCTAAGTGACGACTTCCACAAAGATCGTCAAGCAGTTTAATTTTCTGCTTGAGGAGCGGTCAGTTCAAAATTCAAATGAAGTGGTGCAGTTCGTTTTTAAGAAATCTAAGAAGTCAACTTATTTTTTAGTCAGTTAAAAGAAATGAATGGTACATGCTGAATTTTCATAACAGTTTGGCTTCTGGCTTCAGTTTTCTCTCGCACAATAATGAGGTACTAGATACTCATAATAACAAATTAATTCGAAAATGTTGGCATGTAATAAATACTGCTGTTTTCGTGGCTACTTTAAGGTAATTCGTGGCTGTAGTTTATGAATAGGGCCAGTCAGTTTCTTTTGCCACGTATATTTACCCTTGGTTTACTTAGAGTGTTAGAAAAAGAATTATTCTCGATGCTGTCTTCTGCAAAAATTGCGGAAAAAGCAGAAGCTTTTATGTTTATGAAGACTAAAGCGGAACGGTACTATTGATTAATTTTTCATAATTTGTTTCTTATACAGTTTAAAGATAACTCAAAATGCTACAGCTGAGAATTATATCAGCATGGCATGCAAGTTTGAACCGCACTTTGAATTCAGTAATGTCAAGTTAGTGTAGAAAAGTATCTCTTCCATTAAACTTTTGCATAAATTTTTTCTTTGCCGGTGTTGGTGTCTTCTAATGTGATGTAATAAGCACCCCACCCGAAGTTATGCCTGGGCAAAATTTTGTACATACGAAACGTCCTGATGAAAAGAAACTTTGTCATAGTGTTTCCTGTTGTGATTGTAGTTAATTTAATTAACCGCTTTTCCCTCTGGGCCATCGTTTCTGCCAATTTAGTCGTACAAAAGACGAAAACTGAGTGACCGGTAAATGAGCCAACACTTTCCAGGCTAGGAGAGGAAAAAACTTTTTACGGCTACTTACAAGCTGAAATTTTAATCTTCTAGCGCCTATAATGTTTTAAGATACTTCTTGAGCTGTACTACACATATAAACATGTAGTTTCTTCTGTCGGCTTAAAGCATCGTCGACATTTATAGAGCAGCCGTTACAGTCGACTATTACCAGCCAAACTTTTTGGTACAGTCCAGCACAATTTTGTGCTCTTGGTATGCTAATTCAAACGGCTCAATTTTTTTTTTATCCAAAAGGCGCTGGATGAAAGGATGAGGCTTAGTTAATAATAACATGTTAAACTTTATTGCTAATAATTGATTCACTGGAAATCGATTAAGTTAATTTTCTTCCATTTAAACCAGGAGGTGCCTTATTTTCGTATTTCATTTAAGCTGAAGTGAATTTTGTGCTCTTATTTTGTTTGCTAATCGAAACGGCTCAAATTTTCATTCACGACCCGCTGGATGGAAGGGGTGAAGCTTAGTTGATACCCAACATGAAATAGATGATTTACTAGGAATTGACTGAAGTTGAAAATAATCGTCAATTTAAACCTGGCAAGTGGCTTATTTTAGTACTACATGTGAGCTGAACTACAATTTTATAGTTGGTCATAACATCAAAAACATATTGATTCTACATGTTTGAAGAGTCCTTCAAATTGTGATTTTGCATTAATTTAAATTCTGGCTGTTCAATTAGCTTATGAACGACAAAATCTAAGAGGTTCTTAAACTCCAAAAATTAGAGCTTCAGGACATCATGGAACTCATGCGTCCTTGGTCTTTTTCACGCACATCTAACGCAAGTTTGCACGCGTGAATTATGTGCATTACTTTGACTTGATCAGGAGTCTCATCCAAGTCGGAACTGTCATCAAAGACCCTCGATAAGTACTCACCGAGTCTGGAAATAAAGAGGAAGAAGAATATACTCTGAGAACAATACAAAATTTCCGTCCTCTAACGCAGACAAGGTGGCTGAATGTATGTGTATGTATGTGTCGCACAGATAGAGCATTGGACTGTTGCGTCAAAAATATTTCTTTGCTTTACGTAAAAATATAGGAATTACCCCATTTCACAATTTCTTTCTTCTTCATGAACAAGCAGCAAACTGATGACTTCAATCACTCTTCTCAAAAACAAGTCAGCGTCCATTCTTTTGAATGCTGCACTTAGTAATGCAATTGTGTGTCGTGGCATTTCTTCTTTAAAACTTTCCGAAATCTCTTCAAACGGATCCTGAAAGAATTGAAAAATTAAGATCTATTAAAAAGAAAAGAAACAAATCCAGTGTATCATCTCCACAAATTATGCTTTGTATTTTGCGGCATCGTATGTCAGATGATGATTAGCTGCTCTTTATGGGGAACTAATTTTGGCCGACGGAATTCACTTTTTTGACCGCGAACGTTACAGAGAACAAGAATAAATGTATGGACTGGATCGTAACCTCTGGACAGGAAACATCTTACCATCACTCAAAGGATGATGAAATATTTTTCAACCGAAGGTGATTTGAATTTTCTGTAACAGCAATTGAGTAAAACGCACCTGTCTATTCCTGAACAAGAATTTCGCACGCGCTTCGGCAATTGTGGACCACAAATCCAAGATGTGACACAGACAGCAAGACTGTTGAGCCTAAAAGATAGCAAAGTAATGAAATGAAGACAATAATGGTAAATAAAAATTAAAGAAAGGGCAAGATTGATGCCACCTAAATCCTAATACACGTAGAGTATACTGCTCCTTGGATTCATCAAAAATCCTTACTGTTCCTTACTCGAGGTTTCCCAGTATTCTGTTCAGTGCAATTTTTTTACATTTTTATTAGGTGTATTTTTTGAGTACCCATACTAAGACACACAGAGTTGATCAAATCAGCGAATTTTTTTAATAGTCAAGGCACGACAAATTGTTGCCTGGTCTTCTCCTGCTTCCCCCCTCCTTCCCATGCACCTGTGTTTATTTCGAAATTGTCAGTTTAACCCTGGCGTTTATGCAAGGCTGGCCACAGTCGAGGTCGGACGTTTCACCCAGAAAATATAGTACACGTAAAAAAATTTTTTCAATCTAAAGTTTTGAAACAACCTTTTACTATTGAAAGTAATTAAGCGATCGAGATCGAGTATCATGACAGCAATATTGTTCCTCTCGCATTAAGAAAAATTAACTACCTTCTTACTCCTTAAGTTCGACTTTCCATCACCAAGAAGTAGAATATTCTTCAGATAATCGCAGACTTTCCTTTCCGGATCTCCACCTGCCGTTGACAGGAAACCAATTGCCATTTCCAGGGTTGAAAGTAATTCACTCACGTTCCTAAGTTCCTTTAATTCTGACAGAATCTGGGTACGAGTATTACCATCAATTGAAACCTTAAAAAAAGTACGACGAATGTTGTTTAAAAAAATGATTACTATCTGCCAGATTTGTTTAATCTCACATGTGGTTTTCATGGTTCATCACCAGATAAACTTCTATTGTTTTAAAGAGGTAAGTCTAAAGAAACTGTTGTGCTGCGTCGGGGAGGAGTATAACAGTATAACTTGGTGTTATCAACCTATTTGATAATATAAACTTGCTTCTGTAAGGGGTATTACAGCTGACGTCTCGGGCGTTAGCCCTTCGTCAGAGCGAAACCCTTCGACCCGAGAACCCTATTCTTTATTTGTTCAGAGCTGGCATTTTCACTTGCATAATGTAACGTTTGATTCACTTTTTTCGATCATTACGACTACTTATATCTTCTAGTCGTAATTTCTGGTGAGGTCTGTCCATAACTATTGCAACAAATTTAATCCTATCTTTTAAGAGACCGGTCACGTAAAAAATTTGAATATCTTACTACAAGGCTAACCTGTGGAATCTTTTCTCTCAACTTGACGAAGAACATATCGCGGTCATCTTCATGAAACACGAAATTATCCAGCTTATAAGATAGAGAAGCGAGAATTGACTTAGTGCACTTTATTAAAGTGAGTTTAACTGTTGGTTTGTAGAGCTACGAATTCCATGCACTACTCTACTGTGGGACAGGCACATTTCCAGAAATTCAGTTTTGTGTTCCGTATCACTCTGGTCTACAGATTGTATAATTCTCCTAAATTTATTAGATCGCACCGAATAGGAAATTCAGCCATAAAGAAGTCGCCTTCAAACTGAGTGACCTATGGAAACGACCAGGGAAATATAAGACAAAGAGAGAGCTAAAAAGGATTGATATTAGGGATTGCAATTAGGGATTGTAAAACTGTTCAGCTTATTATGTTCATTTAGTGTTAAGTTTTACAGCTTATGATTTTGTATCTTAGATGGTAACTGTTCTTATCACGAAACAGATAAAATAGTTCGTGCTTTTTCTCGGAGGTGAGCTGTAGCATGTACCTTAAACTCAACGATAGGCCTTCCACGAATGAACTTATCGACTATTTGCTTCTGAAGGGCTTCCCAGTTGTACTGCAATGATGTGTCCTTTCCCACCTCTAGTGTGTAGGTGCAGTTGGCTAGCATCACAGGTAGTAAGTCCTTTTCTGAGTCATACGCTACCAACTGCGACAACGAAACCTCCGCAAAAGGAATCTTGGCGATAGTACTATCATTCGGACCCAAAATATTTCGAACAATTAGATACTCACTGAGGTAAAGGAGATCAAAGGTAGGCAAATACACAGTTGAGGGGAGGGGTAGGGTTATAAGCTGCAAGGTTTTCCTCTTTGATCCGAAAGAAAATGACGATTTATAATACTATAGGAACGTGGTATGCCCCTCAAGTGCCAGTAATAATTTATACTGGTGTAGGACTCCATTCCACAGAGGAGTCCTGGCGTGGACAAAATCTCGTTATCACTATCACTACAATTTGTACTACAATCCATGTGTGTTAGACTCTCCATCCCTTATGGGAAAGAAAAATAAAAGACTGAGATATGACACCGTTTCAAGTAACCATGAAGTACATATCAACCTTTACAGGTATTCCGAAGGTAACAGAAATTAGATCGGAATAGGAAAAAGAGCACTGACCTCACAATTGGCGTCTTAACTAAATAAGCTCCATATTAGAACTCAATACTAACAAAATGAACCTAGGATCTAGCTCGATTGGATATGAAGGAATATGTAACCTGCTTAAGAGATTGGAATATGTTTACCCAACCCCTACAAAATCGTGCGATGATGATAACCTCAATGGCATTCAATTTCTTACGATTCTGTACCTAGTGTCACGTATGTAACTGAATTAACTTAAAATACCGTGTCCTTTCGTCAGATCCAAAGGCACCGTGGTATGTTTCCACCATTTCATTATGTGTATTGACCAAGAAGAACAGTAGAGCTTTGCAACAGACACCTGGGCCAGCCTCAGCTGGTAGCAGTACTGACACGGTGGAGGTCATATCAATTGGTTTCGTACACTGTTCTTCAGAAGGAGTAAAACGACCTGCTGAAAAGAAATATTAACAACGCACTATGATTGGTAAGCAATGTCAAAAACCAATTGTCCTTCTGAACCTGTTATGGATGTCCTTGTGTTACTTTAGTAGATTTTAAATGAACTGTACCATGATCGTTATGAAAATACTACACTGTTTCCCATTAAGTTCTTCTCTAATAGTTTTTAGCATACGATTTCTCACCTTGCGAATAAAGCTGAAGGCGAAGTTGATCCCAAGCAGTGCAAAAACTTTTGAAAAACTTCGTGAAGCTTTCCTTCTGGTCTGAAAGGTGAATTAAAATGTGTATTTTGGGTGAGAGCAGGCTTGGATTTTTGCGTCATGGTGAGAAAATGACCATTAATTTGTTTTCTTAAATGCGGGATCACTTAATTCCTGCCATGTTGTCCATATTGGTCATGCAAATAAGCTATTTTGTTCTTGCTCTTGTTGATTTATGACTAGATTATAGTACACTGTCAATCCCAAGCTTTGGAGGGTATTTTATTTATATCAAAGGGTATTATCCGGGAAAAGCAATGGGTCTTACAATAGTGTGTGATCTGAGACTGGGCAGTCTGATCTGAAGCCGTGTTAGCGACTGAGATTGTGATTAGTGCCTCGGCAGCTTGGTGAGAGACATCATCAGAGTCAAAACGAGAAGAGCTGTTTGTTAGTCGAGTGCATGAAGATAGACCTTTGAAAATTATTGTTCGGTTGCTGCGATGTTGTTTAAGATAATTAAACCGCAACTTGTTTTTGGTTGATCTCTGTCCTAGACTAGAATAGGCTTTTAAATGATCAGTCACTGTTTCTGACCATAATTATAACTTGTCACTTTCACCCTCAACGTAATTACCAACTATACCTTTAGACAATTCTTTCAAAAAATCCCGTATCTTGAACTTATTAGCTTCGTCTCGGTTGATTCGTCGATAAAAGCGATCAGTTAGTATTCTCAGCAAAGCCAAAATGTCCGGTAAGTAACGTACTGCGCGGAGTATGTGCTCCTACGAAAGAAAAGAAGAGAAAAGAGTCTGTGTTCATGATCAAAATCAGAGTCACCTTTTACCAAAGAGTTTCCTGTAGTTCCATTTATACAGTACCTCCTCAAGAAATTTTCCTAGGATCTTGCATGAATCCTTGTTTGACCTGACGTCTTGAAACTGACGAATGATATGCTCAACAGTCAAACGAATTCTATATTTCCAAAAGGCGGGGTGTCCAGGATGGATATCTGTTGCTGAGCGAGGAGGAGTGGGGTCATCCACCTCGTAAATCTCCCGCATGAGTGGATCACTCCCTGCAATAAGGCCAAGAAGTTGACGCTTGATCACAGATATTTTTTTCACATGAAAGTTAAGCACGGCTTTATACGTTTAGAAGTTCAGCCTAGATTTGTTAAGCTGATCGTTTGCAAAAGGAGAACTGTGCTCTATTAAAAAGAAAAAAACAGCGTTACAGCTTTTACCACCGCAGTAAAAAACTATGTGTGATATTATGACACTAGCTGCGCTTTGATTTTACAAGTAGTTACATAACCACCCAAAAATCTTCTGCAAATGAGCTTTAAATCCTACTGAGGACTCCACTATTTTAATCTTGCTCAGCAACTCTCGTACCGGTGACTTAATAAAGCCTCACTTCTTTTTCACTCATCCCGTTTCGATCTGTTCTGATAACCAGGGCCAAAAGAGATGGCACCTTTAACTCAAATAATTATTTCTATCTTGTCATAAGCGAAGCAGTATCTAACAACCACGATGAAATTATGTCGACCATAGAATATACTTCTTTCCTCATCATTTTCATTCCATCCACAACAGAATATAGAGGTACTGAAATATTTGGATTACAAAGTTACATTACAAAAAACTGCGATTGAAACAAAGTTGGGCAGTTTGCATCGCCCAATTTCCGAGCAAAAAGCCTTTCTATCTTATTTTATTCTTTTCAGTTACCGTAAATTTGGGCGAAATTACTTTTAAAGACTATAGTTAGACTATTGACCCAAAAAAGGAGTTAAAAATTCACCCCATGATCCTAATAATGTCATTTAAGAAAGAACTCACTTGGAAGTCTTATTGAGAAAGTGTCGTAATTACCTAATCTCTTATCGTTGACAGACAGAGTATAGAAATTCTGCAGCCGTTCCTCCAAAATCTGCACATTGAGAACAAAACTTGGATTAAAATAGTTAGTTATTCAAGAAGTAATCTAATGATAAGGAATAACACAGAATGCCACAGTATGGTGGGTTTCATTACACTTACCGTTACATGTCTACGACTTGGTGAAGCGAAGGCGAGTAAAAGCCAATTTTTTTGGCTTCAAATGAAGCTTCCCGAACTAATTTAGACAATCGTAAGGATTGGCAGGCATTATTTGTACGTATAACAAAGCCAATTCGAATTACTTTCAATAGTCTAGTCCATTATTGATTGACGGACAAAACCAGTTAGAATTGCTTTCAACAGACTGGACACAATCGATTTCGTCCGTCCATTTAACGCTTAACTTCACTGATCGGACACACGGAAAGAAAACACAACATGAGCTCCGCTTTCAGCCTCCTTTGCATTCATATGTTATCTCGCATTATTGATTGACGGAAGTGTCAAACTTATGCATACTGTACATCACTTCTGAGCAAAGTTCGAACTTTGGTCAAAATATATATAACTAAATTCCTAGAAAATGCCAACCTAAGCTAATAAAAATGGTCGGTACCCGGTCGCTTCTTACTCATGGTTGTTTCGTACCCAGTCGTTTCGTGCCCAAAAGCAGTCGATTCGTACCCAAGTTTGAGTCGGCTCGTACCCAAACCGCTGGTCGATTTATACATTTATTCAAAATACCTCACACACGACTCAATTGTTAACATGTACAATATCTTGTATTAGTTTGGGTACGAGACAACCGAGCTGGATTCGAAACGACTGGATACGAAACGACACAAACGACCGGCAAACCTAAAATATATTTTAACTATATGTAGCAAGCATAATTTGTACCTAAAAACACAAATATGTATCGAAGAAAAAAGATGTAAAAGGAGAAAAGCAAAGAAGCAATAATCCACAAATACGTGCGATTAACAGCGCAGCAGAATCACATGCCTCTTACCATGCAAACAGGTCTCAAAAACACGGTAGAAAAACGATTTTCCCATTCTCTCCGTTCAGCCTTAGTCAACCAATTTGCAATACCATCTGTTCCTCCTTAAAAGTAAATTTAAAACGATATAACTTAGAGTAAAAGGTGTTTCTCGTAACTAAGCTGTCTACAAAATATGGAAACTGTTTGTGACAAATCAGTGATTTTTTAAACCCGTAAGACCGCTAATCTGGATAAAAGGCATTTTTTCCTGTGTATTAGTGTACAACAATATTGTAGAAGACCTCTACATCAATATTTCAAAACACCGATCCAAAGTAATAACCCTCATGGATGTGCATGCCACGTTAGCGTCAAACGAGGAAAAATACGCAAAATACAACTTTACCAAGGTGATAAACTCACAATAAGGAAGGAAGTAAACCGAAAAGGAACGAAAGTGTTTCAGGGTAAGTTGGAAAAGATTAACACGGATTGTAAAGCTGACACTCTCAGGAGACACAAACGTTGACGCAGCACCCACGCAACTGTCACTGAGTGCTTTAGTAGCAAAATAACATTCCTTTTGGACATGGCTGCCACATGGGTAACTTAATCTATATGACTTGAAAGAATGTAACTTACTAGCTGCTGCACGATACACAATCTCAGCTAACACGCTATGAATCATCAGTACCACTTCATCCACGCTCCTTTCCAGGTTGGCTGATATATTTTCCACATCATTGACGAGATGTGCACAGAGGTAACCTCCAACATTCCGTGGTTGAACATCTAACTCCTCTATTAGCTGACTAACGACCTTGGATTAAGAGTAGATCAACTGTGAGTGAATATTGACTGATAAAGAAACGTTTTCATTAACGTTACACTGGAAATAACTCGTCAAGTCCGAATCAGTCCCTGCAAAAAGATATTGTCAGTAAACTGCTGAATCTTTCATCGTTGAAAGCTCTTGACAATAGAAAATGGATCCGTTGTCTTCTGAGGAGTGTTAGGGATCGTGATAAGACCGATGTGGTTAATTTCTTGAGATGAATTCGATTTGCCTATTTATGACTCATAGGAAATAAGCAGAACTAATGAGAACAGATTGTGTCTTGGATTAGGTGCAACATGTCGTACATGTTATGTTCTAAAGTTTCTTGTTTTCCTTGGTTAGCACGAGATATTTAACGCCGCACTATATCAATTATTAATGAATGAAATGGCCTCTGACGAGGGAAATAGATTGTTTTGGAACCATCAAAGTTTAACACTATTCTTTTGTCTACCTCAGGTTGGTCTTGGGCTGCGGACAGCATCGCTGAATGGAGAATAAACCTCAAGAGGCTCACCATAGTAGGAGACAGATCTCTTTCAGGACCTACGATACGTTTGGGGGTTCCCAAGATGTGACCTTTGTTAGATCGGTCTTCCCTAAAAATGCAAAGTATCATGCAACTGTTGAGTTACTCTGCAGTGACAGTCTCTCCTGTGTAGAATTCTTTACTCGTTTTCGAATTGAGTTGAATTTGCTATTTATTCTATGTGCTTCTCTTCCCTCGACAAGAGTCCCATCTCTAATTCGACCTAGATTTCTGAAAAATTTTTCGTGACTTACATCCCACGAAAAATAAATATATATTACTGCAGTATTACATACTGACGTTAGCTTTATAGTTGCCATCTGTTTTCCTCTTGCATAATCAAAAATTACGTAAAAAGTGTTTCATCTTATTACGACATAGGTGAATAACTTGATGTATAATATGGACGCGAGCGTTTTACCGAGAACTATAAAACGCTTGTACAATCAATACGACCTCTTCATCAGGGAACCGAGTGGCTGGGCCGTATTTTCGTATGTAACACGAGTGGCGATATTGAGCAACGACGTCACAATTTTCGCCTTTTAAAACTTTGCTGAATGAACTTGGTTTGTTGGTCGTCTTGAATATTTAATGGCCGCAATATTTGTTGTGGCAAGTGAAGAGGATGTAACTGCATTTTCCGAACAACAAAAGAACGAGAACACCAAGAAGAAAGAACAGTATGATCTAAATATTTTTAAGGAATTTTTCAAAAGTTGCGACGAGACAAAGGTAAACTTTTGCTCTGTTCGTGCTGAATTGCCTTCATAGGTTCGTAGTGAGGCTGAAAATAAAAGTATCTTATGCTTCAAGTTAGAGTCAGTAATCGAATTTTCATTAAGCGTATAAAAACAGTTCACGTGTATTTTGGCCTAACTGTAAACCTTTTTTTAATTTGGGCGACGGGTATTTTGTTTCTTTTTATACCCAGTATTTGTATTAAAACCAGTTGTTCACCTTCTACCTTGTTTATTTTTTGTCCATATAATTAATAATGGTAATAGGACCGAGTGGAGTCCAATTTAGTCTGTAATCATACAAGTTATTAACAAGTATGATTACAGACAGAATTGGACGACACGAAGTCCTGATACCAATTAATCATAACCATTACAATTTCCGGAAAAAAAGAACATTTAGGACAAACATCTCCACAAGGGAAATGTTTAAAGCAAAAAATTTGGAAATTTCCCAGTTTTCTTTGCAGGGTAAGTGGTTGTTACTATGGTTATTGTGATCAATTCTGTGATTGAAGGATTTAACTGAGTGGACTTAGTTAGATTGGCTGCTTCAACCGTCCGTTTACAGGTGTCTGATCACAGCCAACTGTCCGATTACAGGTGTCCGATTACAGCCAACTGTCTGATTACATTGTCCGATTACGACTTTACAGAGTTATCAGTGAAATATAGAGCAGCTGACGCACCAATCACATTTCAGGAAATTTTAATGATTATGTTTAAAAAGAAAATTACACGTTAGCTCAAATATATGAATTTTATGTTCTCATGGCATGGATAATGTCACGTTCATTCGCTGCGCTTTAACATAAAATTCATATCTCCTCGCTACCATGTAACAGTCTCCATAAATAATCAAATGATTGCGAAAAAAAAAATTTGAAGCTAATGTCTACAATTCTGTACATACTTATAAATCAACGTGACCCTAACAAGAACATTAAAAAAGTACATAGAAGTAATTTTGTAGATACCGTGTAAGTACGCTGTGTAGGATAAGTAGCTAACAAAGGACTAACGCTCGAAATGTAAGCTTTAAAACTCTTAACAGTGGCCAATTTACCTTATCAACTCAGTTGAGAATACTTAACTACCCTGCCTTAGATAGCCTTTAGTAAGTATGCGTAAATATTGATGCAAGTTATTAGATACCGGCGTGCCAGCCTGTTGTTAGAAACCAAACGGTGTTTTAGGCCTCCAATCGGAACCGACGAGTCACAGTAAGGGCAATCGCGCTGCTGGTATGGTATGCCACACTATGAAGAGATAACTATGCGATTATAATGCTCAAACCACTAGTAAACAATACGCCAGGGCTGATAACACTATTCAATGGATAAATCACCGCCCAGCGGATAAGTGATAGCAAAACGTTTAGCGTTATCCACCGGATAGAGATTTATCGAGCGGATAGTGTTGTACGACCTTCGAACAGCCGGGGCCAGGTTATTTCAGTAAAGTCGTTTTATAAGATAAGTCAAGCAATGTAATCAGTCGATCTTTCAATCAATCTTTCTACCAATCATCAATCAATCGATCACTCAATCAATTGGGTCAACTATGAATCTATTAGTTAATAAATCAATTAATCATTCAATCAATTAAGCAATTAATCAGGTTGGTCGGTTGTTCAGTCAATTAATTAGTACAAAACAATACTTACATCACCAACAAAGTATCGATGGCGCTTTGGACATTCTAACAAGAAAAAAAGAAACTTCTGAACAAAGTCTCGTGTCAGAGAGCGTCTACCTATATCTGTGAAAATATTAATTAGCCACAGAACGATAAAAATGACCGAAAGTAAACAAGTAGATTGACAGTGGGGGCATTCATAATCACACTGGTAGACTGGGAGTAAAAATCCTATCTGATAGATGGCTATCGTGTACATTTAGGACACATTATTTTACCCGCATGAATACCAAAATAACTCCGCATCACCTGCCTACTCTCTGGAACTCGGCTTTATAGTGACTGAATAACCGCCTAAGTATTGGGTACAATACCTACCATACCATTGACCATTCTGCTCTGTCATGGCTGATCGAGTTTCTTCAAAATTGTCTTCTGGCATTGTCGGGAGGAAAGAATTCTGCAGAGTGAAAGGCGAGAAAAATCTGTCCAGCTGTAGCACAGCTTCGGCATGGGGAAAACTCTATTATCTCCTTTCCATGTTTTTTTGGTTGTTTTTTGTTTGGAACACAAAAACTGACGTTTGGGTTTGTATGATGGATGAGGGAAGACTTTTAACTTACTATCATTTCACTCGGAGCAAGAACAATCTCCCTTAAAGGGTTCAGCAACTCATCAAAACCAATGCACCGAAATACGGTTTTCTGTCTCTCCCTGAGTCTCTCGTCAAAAAATTGACGTTTGGGTTTGTATGATGGATGAAGGAAGACTTTCAACTTACTATCATTTCACTCGGCGCAAGAATAATCTCCCTTATAGGGTTCAGCAACTCATCAAAATCAATGCACCGAAATACGGTGGTCAGGTGCAACAGGATTTCGGGTAGAGCCTTTTCTGTCTCGCTCTGAGTCTCTCGGTCAGCAAGGAATGGGAACTCCAAGTTCTGCGGAGGATTCCTCAAGAGATTCCAGACCAAACATTGCGCCTACACGTTTAACATGACGAATGTTTCAGAATTAGTGGGACATCATTTATGCGGAACCAAAGTATCGTGAACATCACGAACAGTACAACTTCGTTCATTATTACATTAAAGGTTATCTAGAAAATATAGTAGGAGAGGTTAGAGGCTGGTCTGGAATGTTCCAGGCCCTTGGAGATATTTATTCCACAAAGGATGTTTACCTAGACTCCTCCGAACAAAGGTATGTCTATCAGAGACTAAGGCTAACTTCAATTTGTTGTTCTGATTGAAAGCGTTTAACTAAAGTGATTTAGTGTTAACAACTAAGTTGAAAACGTAAATTGGCCACTGTATAGCGTTTAAAGGCTGACATTTCGAGCGTTGACCCTTCTTCAGGGCGATTAACTGTAGTTGCTCTGCCGGCACTGTCAAGCCGGTAATGTCAAGCCTTAAACCGAATACCATCCTATGAATACCACCCAAAATAGTTTCAAAACTACGTGATATGTCTTAATCAGCCCATCAGAACATGATCCATAGGTCAACTTACATTCGAGGATATCACGCTGCACCTACTCAGAAGGACGTCTCTTAACACAGTAGCACATTTCTGATGGAAATGAAAATAATTGTCGTAAACAACGTATGCATGAAATAAACTTCAAGGACACGCGTTTATTAAATTATATTAAAAAACTAATTCTGCTATTTTATATGGTGCTTTTCATACTCGCTGAATAACAATCAAGGTTATTTCTTACTTCTTGGTGAAAATGCTGGTCTTCAGCCGACGCTCTTTGCGTTAAGGTTATCTCCCGATACAAAGCCAGAAGAAGTACGATGTCCTTGCTCGCAGGTTGCCCTGGCACCTCATGTAATGCCTAACAATACACAGGATGGTGAGAGAGCTAACTGTTTATAGTTAAAAAAAAATAAATTATGAAAAAAAAAAACCACACACACACACACACACACACACACACACACACACAAAAAAACAAAATAAGCGAAAGTAAAACGAAGTGAACTGTATTCCTTTTTTTTTTTCTCTTTCAGGTGACATTCCAGTGCTATCCCATTCTATCCTTAGCATCTGAACCTTTTCTTTGATTGTTCTAGCCTAACCTCCTTGGCCTCAATCTCATAGGGCGATCTACTTTAACTAAGTTCTCAGAGTCTTATTCAGAGGGTATTCAATAAGAAGTAAAAATACATGCAAAACCAAAGCATAGGTTCATAAATACAGGCAAACTCAAAGGAATTCTAACATGTTCCATATACTATTATACCTTTAATGACACGACAAGTTCATCTGTGTCATCGCTCAATATTGCTCTTGCTATTGCATCTCTTACTTCCCGGTACAACTCTCCATACACCAAGAACCTATCCAGATTTATCTCAGTGTCCTGTTTTGATAGGTTATAAGTAAATCCAAGAATGCTTCCTTTAGTGTGTTTCGCGTTTAAAACGACAGAATTGTTATGAAAGAGGAAGTAAATTACGGCAGGTCAATGCAGGGAAAATGAAAGAATAGGGAAGGTTGCGAAGAGCATAGGCCAAGAGCATTTCTGGTTAAAATATGGATAAGTAGGCTCCCACAACAAAACTGCAGGCCTCAGTAGGGCGTGGTCATGAACGAATTATGGGTATCTCGTAGGAAAGCAGACGATATAACTGGTCCGCATTTTATTCCTTTATAAATATATAATAGAGAATCTACGATATTCATTTATCTGACACATAAGACACTAATGCACGAATATTGCACCTTACCTCTCTCCGTTGAAGTTCTACGGGTACGATCCACGCGAGTTCTGGGTTTTGAGACACTGTTGAAATGGCACGTCCCCCGTACAGTTTGACCAGCTGCTTGAGCAGAAAGAGACCAGGGGACCTAAAACGAACCGACGTGCACAATGCCTGAACAGTCTTGAAAAGGTTTTCCATTGCTCCACGCGTGTCACCTCGGCGCCACTTTTCGTAATCGCTACCGCAACTCATATACATGAACTGCGCAGCCATACCTAGAGTGGACCGTGCTTCAGCTATCGCCTCTAGTGATTTAACCTGGATCTCATTATCACTTGTATGGTCTTTCTGTAAGATTTCTAATGCACGTTCACAAAAATTATTAACGGTATTAATGTGCACATGGAGATCGCAGTTGGCAGTCATGGCTATCGTACTGTCACAGGAGTTCTGTGGGTTAAGAAAGCGGTTGGAAAAAATTAGAGGTACACAGCAAGAACTGAAAAAGTTTTTAATCAATGTTTTTAATATTTTAGGGAATCCATAAAGAAATGTCTCTAAAAATTCTTAGGCTCTATAACCTAATAGTACCACGGTGCAGACAAGTTCCCGAAAAAGAGCATCATCATCCCATTATAACGTGTTCGTTTCATTTAAGGATAGACTTTCATGTACCTCCATACACTGCACAGCAAGTAGACAGACATTCAGGAGATGAGGCACTTCTGATGACAGACCTTGAGCTTCGAAGAGGAAACGTTGGAGGTGTACCTTGGCTAATTTATCACTAAATGGATATTACAGAAAACATTGTTTTTTAATATGTGTTACGAAAGGAACTCTCTACAAAAGAAGAATAGCGAAGACACGATTTGAACCATAGTGAACATCAACATTTGTAAGTGACTCGAATGAATAGTTCTTTTTTCTCGTTGCCTTTAGAAGATTAAACTCATGGACTGTGGCCGCAATGAAAAATAGAAAATAAACATTTGGTGAAAAAGGCCATTTTCTGTGATAGAACGCGCATTTAAGTTTCAATCAACCCAACCAGAAAAGGTTGAAAAATAGTAGTAATGATGAACTCCTTAATGAAATCTTCGCTAAAATTTCACCAGCTACACGGAGCTATTTTGACCTCAAACTCGTCATGCTGATGATATCTAAAATGGCCGATGTAATCTATGGCGGCTAACTCATAATTAACAGATCTAATTAGTTTGATTGCTACTTTTACTTAAGTGGTGATTGTTAACTTGAAGAGTCTTGAAGCGTGTCGGATTGCGTTGCCTAAACAAATCAACTTCCTCAAGTTGAAACTGACGGAATACTTGTACGTCGAGAATGGGCCGTATCGAAGGCAGAAGGAAGTATGGTTTCAAATAGAAACTGTTAATTAGAGAGGAACACACCTGGAATTTATGAGTTGCTGCAAAAGGAATGATCTCACCATAGGACTACTGTCTGCTCCAAATTCAGGGAAAGGCGAGAATTCCCTAGTTTCAGCAGCAGATTGTGTCGCTGTAACATATCTCATGATTATTTCAAATACTTCTGGATCCAAATTACGCACGTCGTCTCCAAAGCAAAACACGGTAATAATCTCCATCAAGAATGCGTTGCAACATCTAAGGAACTTTGCATACACTTCAGGCTCATCACTTCGAATAAAAGTAATAGCATAAAACCTCCATTAGTAGGCTACACAGTAAAAAAGGTCGAAAAACAATACGGAGTGTCCACTCATTCCCCAAAAATTAATTCCAGCAACGTGTGACGTCCAAGTACAATTGTTTTTAGAGAGACCCGATGCTTGAAGCGACGAGAATTTGAGATTATAAGCAAATATAATTAACTGCCATCAAAAGGAGACATAACGACTTACTCTTGCAGTCGTGCTTGTAAATCCTCTTTACAACTTATCAAAACTCGTTCCACGATAGTGAGGGATTCGGCCTTTGTGAAATCTGTTCCTTCACCTAGAGCCTATAAAACCATCCAGGCCTTAGGTCATACTAAATATCTTCGTAACAATTAAAATGAAATATTTAAAAAGGTAAAGTGAATTGTTTTTGCAAAATTCCAGTGCTGAACAATAGACAAATCGGAAATCAACACACTACAATCAAGAAACAAAATTGAGAATTTCTTGTTTAGCAACTGGAGGTGAGCGCAAATAACTTTCTAGCGCCGCTATGATCGACGAAAAATCTTTCTTTAGATTCTCTTTTTTTGTACGAACCATTTTGTGACAGGTTAAATCAAAGTTACGACGTACTTCAGTCAATAATTTCGATACTTTTACTGTTTGTAACGTTTGAAAACGAACTCATTGCTTTCAGGTACAACACAAAATTTAATTTCCTCCCCGGAAACATTTGCAAACCGGTAGCTGGCAGCCGGTTTTTTGCCTCCTATTCACTAGCTAGCGCGGTAAATATAACGTCATACAAAAGATCGCCCAACAAATAAGACTGAAGGTATCTCTTTGTTCAGGTATGAAATTATACCAAACACTTTCGTCTACCTGACTGAACGACACCTCCTCTGCGGTTCTAACTTGCTTCCAAAGGCTTGCGCAAGTTTCAAATTAAATAAGATTCCAGATTTCAGATATACCTATAAAATTTTTTAATCCTCATGAGGAAGCTCACGTGGAAACCAATGAGCCTATTACTATGATATTTCCCCTAAATGATTGAAAATACAGTAAATACGTGGACGGTTATCAGCTGAATATGCGATTGTTACCTTCCAAAGTTTCAAAATATGCTGCACATCCGGTAAATCTATTCCACCTTGGGATGGATACACGTCTTCGATAAACATTCTCACCGCACTCAAACGTTGCCATATGGATCTAAAATCGAAGCGTAAAATAATCTCATAATATGGTTAATAATAGGCGAACAAACATTTCAGCTTGCTCATTGGTTGAGAAGACGTCAATTTTATTTCATACAGTGCAGAAAGTTGAAATTGGGTGCATAAAGTTGAAATTAAATTGATTGACAGGAGAGTCGCGAAAACACAACGCGACAAAATAGCCAACAGGTTTCGAGAAAGTAACAACGTTTCAATTCAGAACAAACACCTAACAAAACACAAACAACTGGCTACAAGTCGGGAAGTCTTAGGCTTCCAAAAGTGACTGCGACGTAGGAACCGAAAGCCCTAACAAAATTCCTTTGGAGTTTACGGAACAGTTCATACGAAAGACAGGATTAAATTACGAGCTTGATAGACCTCGTGAGTGCTATAAAGCGAATTCAGACTGAGAAAGAGTGCAAACATTCAATTATTCCTGACAGAAAATTTAAAAGGATTTTCAAAGCAAATTTTTGCGGGAAAACTCCGAAGACTTCAGAAACAACACAAAGGCAAGAGGCCACACCAGTGAACCATAAACACAGCTAAGAGGAAAACGTAGTCAAATGAAAGACAACAAATTTGGTTAGCCCTCGAAAAATTTACTTGTGCTGATTTATCCCAAATTGCACTAAAATCCATGTGATTACCTATACTAATGGCGTATTCCTAGTAACAGTTAACTTTGTGAGTTACAGGTTTTAGATGTGACAGTGGACTGTTTAGAAACGATATAAGCTCAATCATTTGGTCAGTTTTTTGTACTGACTTTGTAAAAAAGAAAATCCTTGTGAAGTTTTGTAAGTTTTGTTTTCGGAGAAGTTCTCTTTTGGTAGATACTGGGTTTACTTCATAGGTACTTGGCTTAACATACTGACTAATCAAGCTAAAAATATCTTTTAATTTCCTCAGTCATATCGAGAGAACATGAGAATTTTACTGCAACCACAATTAGTCCTTCAATTTAAAATTTAATGGGTCATCTACGAATCATCGAGCCCGACCTAAGAAAAGCTTTCACAGAAGTATTTCTCATTGAAAGTCTGGGAATTTGAAAAAAACAGCTCTGTCTTCCCTTTACTCAGGTACAAGTTTGAAGCGACTTCTCATGGATAAAGTATTTGTTTGATAATTTTTTTGAATTTCTAAAGAGCTACGTTTACCCCATGAAAATTATGGCTCACATGTTATTTTTAAGGAACCGGCAGTAATTACTTTGTCGCTAGAAAAATTAATAACAACATCGAAACGGTACCTGCACTGCATCAGCTTTGACTGAGTCCTTTCTCCAACATGTGCCTTGCCTTCGGTTCCACTTTTACCGATCATTTCGTCCACAGGTGTTTTTACTGACATAACCAAGTCACACCAAATTTTTCTCTCCGAGGAGGTCTTAAGATCCTCTCCACAAGGTTCCATACGCTCCAAGCAAATTTGTAGAGCAATAGCATCAACGGTCTTTGAAAAGAAACTAGTATTTATGAGTAGAATATTAAGTATACACTTCAAATTTCGAGAATGTTTCTTGCAGTAGAAGCAAAGTCTACAGGCTTGGGAGCCTGTACAACTATTTGTGCCTTGGGACCCGTACAACTATTTTAGGCGAGGCCTAAAATAGCTGTACGGGGCTTGCGCTGCCTCAAATTTATTTCGAATTGCCTGAAACAGCAGCAGACTACCTGCATACTTGTAAGAAATACGTAAGCTGAAATGCTTAAATGACCTCTCACTAATGTTCTTTTCAAGATTTGTACTCACCATTTCATCTTCATCCCACGAAAACCTGTTTTGAAGGTCGTCTAAAATTTCGGGTTTGGCTCGAAGTAAGAGCGATAGGCAGTGAATTCGCTGCTGAATACGAGAATGTCCCACATGAACCAGCGCAAAATCCATTATAAACTTCCCATCTGTCGACTGTCGTGGGGCACGAATCTCTTTTGCAGCAGCTCTGATCGCTCTTTCAACAATCTGTTGGTGGATGAGGATAGGTCCTAAATTCCTGATTAAAGCGATATATTAAACGAACGCAAAAAATAAAAAGAAAAAAAAAACGATGACGTAACCATGTCGAAATAAATTCGGGAATACCCTCAACCTTACCCTTCGATAGAGTTTAAGCGAAGGACAAACTATTTTGTGCTGTGATTACCTCAGTCTCCGCGTCATCTTTAGGTTTGTACACCATCTGTGTAAAGTCATGCAAATAACGAGCCACTGAATCTTCGCCGCCTTCTGAGGTGGCCTCAGAAACAATCCGCCTCACGCTTGAAGTGTCCAACAACCTTCGTAAGCATTCGGTAACGGTCTCATAAGAATTTGCTACGAAATGAAAAAAGGATTTGATTATTTTTATAATACTCCAAGGTATGGGTTTCTACAAGGAAATAATTTCCGCTATTATTATACATTCAACTCACAATCTCTTTTCTGATTGTTCGAAGGCGTATAGTGAATTTTCGAAATCAGCGCCTGGGACGTCATCTTGTTGCAGATTATATATTAATCAAGTCATGTATGACCGCGGAGCATGATTTCTAAGAGTAATCATGTCAAGTTCGTGCCCTTTGTGTTGCTTGCTGATTTGTATATTCTTACACGTCTAGAAATAAACCATCAGTTCCCTTTACTGCCGTGACCATTTTTTTCGTTCAGTGTATAGTAAAACAATTATTAGATTCGATTTTTGCGATATCCAGAATTATCAAGGTCAAGGTAGCGGTTATCAGCTAAAGCCGAAGGCTTAGGCTGATAATCCCTGCCTCATCCAATAACTGGGACACATGATTGAATGAAATACAATGAGAAACAATTCGATTCTTTATTCTATGGATTAAATAAATTCTCAAACCCTTCCCACTCCTTTAGCAAGGAAGTCTTAACCATGAAGAACACTCTTTGCGGGAAATAAATTAGCTGAAAGCGTGAGGTAGCCAATTTGTCAAACAATCCTAAATCATTAGACACACCACACACACACACACACACACACTTCGTTCTTTTCATTTATCTCACCTGCGACACTTCTCGCCTCTCGATAGAGCTCATCAATGCGTTCTTTGAGCATCCATGAAAATGGAAACCTGCACTGGAAGACATGCCCTCGATACCCCGATTTTAATACTGGAACCTTGCTGCGGACTACATCCACATCTTCTTCACGTGTCATGAACATTCCATAATTAATGGTAGCGAAGGAACTGTCTTCAAATACGTTTAACCAGAGATTTGAAAGCCAGGGATCTTTGCTGGCGGCCAGCTCAAGGTTTCCGTCGCGATCAACATAAGCGATGACCTCTGCCAAGATAGGAGCCACAACACACTGAAAACGGCGCCAAAGTGCCTTCTTGAAAGTTCCATTTTCGTTTACAGTGCACGCTTTGGCAACGTCTTCAAGCCACCCTTTCCCCTCTTCTGGTGCCCGCTGGTCTTTTTCTTTTAGTAGGTCATGAAGTCGTTTAGCAAGAATCATCTCAAAGCGGTTGTCACGTAGGTCTTCTGCAACAACATGGAATCATAACATTAATCTGAAAGGTGTTAGGGATGGGCCTACAATGAAAAACCTTATTGTACAAAAAATAAAGATGCTTTTACTTGGGATTTACATTTTTCTTCATCTAAATTTAAAAGATAACAAAAAAAAATTTCGAATCTTCCTTCCGAATAGTGATTCAATATGCATCGAGTAGCGCTTTTAATCCTACTTAGGATAAAAGTAAAAAACTGACTTCATTCGACTTCCTCAATTGCATACAACGTACCTCGATATGAATTTGTAGAGTCTATCACACAAACGATGCTCACCGCGCAAATAATTATTTGAGGAGGTTAGAGGAGAATACCAAATCGTTTAAATAACGGTTCAGTTGTCAACAACTCCTTGTCTAAAGACGTTAACAACTACTATTCTAAGAACTCACCAGCCTTCGCTCTGGAAGGAAGTAGTTTAAGCAGCAGTTCAATTCGTCTAATTGCCCTTCCAAGTGTCGATTCATCATCCTCAATCTTGCTAGCTGCTATCTGCACGCAACTTGTTAGAACTTTACCAATACTCAAATAGTTTCCTGTCTTATCAATGGCACTCTCGAAAATTTCACTAACTGAACGGTCCTTCAGTGCTTCAACCGGAGGTATTTCTTCACTTGGAGGGCACAATTCGTCAATGTGGACGGATAACCAATTTTCACCTTGCACACTGACGAACTCTCGACAGCCCCCTGCCACCCTGGACACTTGTACAATCATTACAATGTGACTGCAATCAGTGGCATCTGGATGCAACACGTTTTCCATTTCCTTACACTCTTCAATGAGCAAATGGCGAGAGCATGCTATCAAATCAAGGATTTGTTCTCCGGAGTCGCACTGAACGATTAACAGGCTTTCCCTGCCTCCCAGCGTGGACCAGAAGTCTCTCCTATGAAACATACATTAAATATTCGAATTTAAAAAAGCATTGGCTATTTTAAAAAGTTTCCAATTGAAGAAATCTAGTGAAAATTGAAGAACAAGTTTTACCCTATGCAGTTTAAGAATTGCTGTTCGGTTTGAAACTGTTGCAGCGAGGCACACTTCACTGAACTGGGAGGAAGCTGTGCAGCTTTTGCAATGGTAGGAATGTCTCTTTCAGAGAGGAGACGAGAGTGAGTCGATATCTGAAAAATAATACGTCGAACACTAAAAAAGTAAGAGATCATCCTCCAGTCGTATTTAAGTCATCTAAGGTAGATTTCGAAATCACAGGACTGCGAAAAAGAAATACACACGAACTTTGGTGTAATAAACACTTTTGAAAGGTGTTTGTTTTCGGTTATTTGCGACTTCCTCTTTATACATAATCTATGCAGTTTAAGAATTGCTGTTCATTTACGTACGGGCCTGAAATTTTTTTTCAGGTCCTACTTACAACTACTCGTTTCAGTAGTGTTCTTAGCTGCGAAGATCTCCTAATTTCATCTTTCCACCGCAGTGCAAATATGTGAATTTTCATATATCTAAAATCTTCATTCACTTGGATGTTTATTTGGACCCAATTCATTGACCAGCTCCCAGTTGGCTTGTTAGCTCAATTGGTAGAGCGCTGCACCGGTATCGCAGAGGTCATGGGTTCAAATCCCGTACGGGCCTGAAATTTTTTTCAGGTCCTACTTACAACTACTCGTTTCAGTAGTGTTCTTAGCTGCAAGGATCTCCTTGAGGATTACTGTAAAAGAAAATTCAAGCAAACAAACAAACACAAAATTGTGTGGAAACATTCGCATCCCCTTGCAAAACTTCCCAACAAACATTTATATGACTCGTTAGAAGTTAGAGCGAGGTCTAGGATTCATATAGTTGCATTATAGCAGTAATATTCAGTTAGACTGCTTGTCGCTGTGGGTTATTTACAGTTATGATATATTAATTAGAAAGTCGAGCTAAAATTTCAGCTGACGAAATTAAATAACGGTAAATCTTTTAGAAGAGAGTTGCTCTTTTCACCTGGGCACGTAGTGGTACTTTAGCCCTTTCACCGTCACTAGACCTGACATCTCCGATAACTTTTTCCAAAAAGTTTGCCAGGCTTGAGTGTTCCTGTTCGCGAAAGTACGTCGTCCATATTCTCTCAGCCTCTGAACTCAGACGTGAAGAACAGAGACGGGTAACAGAGTCGGGAGTCGCACACTGAAGCAATCGCTCCTGACATGTCCTCAGCACCTAAAAAAAAAAATTGTTATGTACTCCCTAAAGGTTACTGTCGACTAAATCTGGTCAAAATTTTCAAAATTTATTTTTTTCACTCTTAAGTTATAGAAGCAGATAATTTTTATTTGCTAGGAAAAAAAATTGTAAAATCTTAAAAACAACGCGAGGTAAGACTCAAGAATGTTTTAGGGGAACCTTTACCGAAGAGTGAAAGGTGTCAATCGGAAAGGTATCCAGCAGAGTGTTGACGTTTGCCGCGGGCTTTCGTTCGCGATTTCACATCGCGTCTCGCACTGCACAGCAAAAGGGAATTGCTAGCACACTTCAGAGAAAAGTCTGGTGAGCCCGCTTTTCCTTCTGTTTTTCACGATGAAGTTTTGGATTTCTTTCATTATAAATTCGTTTTTCCTGTTTCGTGAGAGGACCTTTCCCGCAAATTTCAATGGAGTTCTTTATCACAAGAATTGCAAGGGAGTTCGATGTTGCGAATTATTGGTGGGCGGAATGACGGCAATTACACGCTCTTAAATGAGATGCAAAAACTGTGGATTTCTTTGGAGGCCAAAAACTCGAGGTTTCTACTATCAAAGCACCAAAGTGTGTAAGGCTTTTACGAAATTCGAACTATTTTTTTCGTGACGTCCCGGAGCCGAACAACCAAAATATTATCCATTGTCCGACTTCGAAACATATTTTCTTAGGAACCAATAAGAATATCGAAAAAGCCTCACACACTTTGCTAGCCTATCATCTGCTAAATGACCGGCTCTATCTTGTTTGTTTGGAGGTCGGCGGTAACGCGGAGGATGGTAATTTAGTAAATCAAGGCTTGCACGCACTTAAAAAAAGAAAGAACTGTGAAAATTTTTACACATTATCATAATCTATGCTTTATAAGCTTTACATTGTATTTTTCCATGGCGCACGTAGGACGATTTTTCCGCAAAGTACCATATTTTGTTGACAGTTACCTTAACGACGGGCCTACGTTTCATGAAATGACTTAGCTTTTGGACATCTTCAGTCTCAGTTCAACTGAATCGTCGATATTTCCAGGTGAATATCACGTAAGCATCTTCATGTAATAATTACATAAGAAATAAACACGATATTCTCTTTATACCCGTCACAATTCCTTTCTCTGGCGATGCGACTTACCTTTTCTTCCCAAGACTCTCTTTCTTCGTCTGAGGGAAATACTCCGTCGCTGTGAAGTTCAGCACAAACTTGCAAAACAACAGCTGGGACGATGTCTTCGTGATAACCAATAAAGGCATCTCCTTTAGAGAATGGTCTTCAAAAAACAAGTGGAACAATGAGGGATGTCAACTTTAGTTAATATCAGCCATATCATTGGACAGGTGGCATCAATGAATGCCTCTTTTGTCTTACCCAGCGTGGTATCGGGAACAACCAAATATTATGGGTTGCCTTTTAAGTAACAATATACTTGTGTACAGTATATTGTGCAAATATGAAATACGCATTAATCTCTACGGTGAAATTTAAGGTCCATGTATATGTCAGTTGCGGCAAGGTCGATCAGAATAGCGAGAGGTAAGGAAAAGAACAGTATACATTGGAGACTAAAGCACAAAAAACCTCTTTTTTCGGTGAGGCGGCTGTAAAATATCAGCGAAGTTGTCCACCCAAACTTTTAATTTCCTGGTCACTTCTTTCTGTGGCCAGGTGAGCCCAGATGTCATAACAAGGAAGTGTTTCTCCAAGCGGTTAATCAGAGGGATGGGGAACTTGTTGTAAACCACGTCCTTTTCAGCGATGACGATTAGCCTGTTCAAAATATTGATTGAAAAAGGTTTATTATGAATTACAAGCAGTTGTAACAAATAAGCATCTTTGAAAAGTTGTCGATGAATATATAACTAGTTCTGCAGGAAAACCGTCAAATAAAGTCAGCTTTATATTACTCTTAAATTGTAGAGCTTTTAAAAGAGTAAAACCAATTAAAAGTTTCAAGTTATGTCGAAGTGGTGCCTTGCCTTTGGCGAAGTCCTTCAAAGTTGCTCAGCAGACATTTTGTAATGCGATCGGTAAAGGTTCAAGTAACAAGCTCAGTGCTTAAAGTTGCAGGTTTATAAAGTGGTGATGTCCTTCACTAATAAACTGTAAATCAAACTCTAGTCGATAATTTGCATGTCGGTAGTAGACCCCAAGAGAATCCGTTTTACCTGAAGTCTTTGTGAACGCGGCATTTGACTCGATTATTCCCAAGCCCAAGATCCACATACTTTTCTCCTCCAAAGAACACGTAATACTGAAGAGATAAAGTTGGTGTCAAATGACAAACAAAGTTAATGAAAATGAAAAAACCGAAGATATCCCTAAAATTAACGGTGCGTTGTGCATATAGACTCCCACATCCTAATGTACAGGAATTTGTACGGTGTCAGTTTAATCGTGACTGACCTGATTTAGGGCGTCGTAGAGACTCTCATAGAGGTTTTCAAGATTGAGCAAAATCACTGTTCTGCCTGCTTCCATACACATCTTGACACGGTTGATGTTGCGGCAAACCTGTGCAAAGTATACCGACGTAATCACACCTCAACAAGGGGAAGAGGGTTATTACAGTTATTCCTTATTGTCAATCATAATGAAGACATTGGAAAAGCGCAATATTAATTGCTCTTTTAAACCAAACTGTTGTTGAGCAACTGACTATCAGCCGTATTTTTTGTTTTGTTTTTGCTTTTGTTTTTAATATGGCGCTTTCCGAAAGTTTTCATAAGAATTTCAGTGTTGCAATCTCTAAATTTTATTTGAAATCTAAAGTATATATCTTACATTCGTCTTGGGCCAATCAGTAACTGATAAATATGCAAATAATTTCTACCTGGGTGAACAACTGATCTTTTGGAAAACCACTGCCAAAGATGACATATGGATCTTCTTTATCTTTTTGCTCTAACAAGAGCTGTTTTACTCTTGGAAGGGCGGCAAAGTTTTCAGTCATGATAAGCAAATATCGTCCTTGTCTGCGAAACAGGAAAGCAAGAAAATTAACAAAAATCATGACTAGCGATTACTCATTTGTTTTCCTTGAATACATATAAGGTCACTTCTAAATGGGGCAGATTATTGAAGAAACATGGAGTAACTAATAATCACATGCATTTTCAATCATAAGAGCCTGCATCCATGCCCGTCGGAAATACTAAATAATAACAATAAATAATAAATAACAAACAATATAATAACACTGAATAATACAGACAAGTTCTTTATGTATTTCTACTTGTGAAGTGCGGTATCGAGACCTACCCCATCATGCTCTTCCGGTTCAGGCTTTCCCAGATAAGGTCTAGAGACTCATCTTTCATGAATTCCTCTTCAACCTGTAAACGAGGGGTCCATTCCAATGGTAAGGAAAACGCACGCATGATAAATTCGACTATTAAACAACTCTCACCAAAATAAATTATTCTGAAGGCTACTGGGATAAAGCTTTGGTAGAAAGTCTAAAGGTTAACACATACTCGGCGACTGGTCAAAGCATCAGGTCCTTTACTCAGGACTGAACTTCATATCTGTTTGAACACCATAAAAATGTGATGCTACGGAGTAAAAATAATTTAGAGAGGCTACCCCTTTTGATAAAGTCTACTGTTTAAATTAACTATTCAATCAGTCTACTATGTGGAATGTAAATTGAAACCATTTTTGTACAAACACTTAAACTGCGAGATCTGTGAAACCGAACATAACCAAGAAATTATTTGAAAAGAGATCACAACGACACTTCGCATCTCATCCTTTAGTCGCATGGCGGTGCACACGAATGTGTGTAATGACCATAAAAATTATAAACACTGGACGTTATCCAAGAACACCCTCACACAACAGTTTTTGGAGACTCAATAAATGAAAAAAAAAATCTCTGCAAGGAATCGTTCGAAAATTTGTTTGAGGTACAACTTTTTAATAGTTTTAAAACGAAAGAAAAGTGTTTTTTAACCTGTAGATGTTCCCCTGGGAAGCCAATATTTTCCATGAGAATTTTAACAGGGTTAAAATCTCCTTCGACCTCCATCAAGCCACTGAAGTTTCTCTTAATGGCGCGTTCGAGCTCTTTCCAGTTTGGTCGACGTTTCTCTTCCTTAGCAATGGAGACGATCATCTTTACAAGACTGAGTCAAACACAAGAAAAGAAAACCTACCGTAAATTTCTTAATAAATTGATCAATGAAACAGCTGCAATCAACGCAAACCTGTAGAAATCTCGAAGTCCAAAAAATTCGTCCTTTTTTCCTTCTTTTAGTTTCTCCAATCTTTTCTGTCTGTCGTAGAGCTCTTTGTAGCCATAGACCAACGGATTTATGAGGGGTTCTACATGAGTAACAATGTCCTCATCACTTCCACAAATGCCCCTACAATGAGCAATAGATAAATAAAATCATCGGTGAACATGAAAAGGATATCATTGTGACTGGAGTTGTATCTTGTAAATCCTGATGTGTTGGTTTGAAAGCGGAGACGAGAATGGATGTTCTCTCTTTCGCTGTTAACTAATATAAACGTCCCTCAATTGCCTAGCCTAGGGATAAAACGGGCCAATAGATATTACCTTCTCCTTCTCTTTCGCCTTTCATTTCCCCCAAGATGTCTTCGCCTGAGCTCTCCCATCAGTCGAATTAACTTACTTTTACCTTTTTACCTGGGTCACGACTCGCACATGACCACTATGAATCGAGAAAGTGGTGAAAAGGACGGGACGTTGGCAATCATTGCCGTTGAGTTTCATACAAACTCACAGCGAGTCATGACCCCTTTATTGTCATCTGCGGTGATTGGCTTCCCGTGATAAGTTGTCTTCTTTTCGCTTCGCCTTGAAAACTATGCTTTCTTTTTGAATTCTTATACCAAGACGATCACATACAATATTAACAGCTCTACCTTGCAGTTTCTTCCAGTTCGTCTTCGTCAGGCTCATTACGGCAAAGCATTATCCCGCGGTTCATTTTGGCAGGGTCCAATGCCCAGTTCGACAAACCAATGAAAGCGACGCGTGTAAAACTCTTTTCAGTCTGGATCGCAAACCCGTCGTTTTGGTCATCATCTTCCAGGAGGGGATGTAAAGTTTTTAAGGGCATTTTGGGTGAGTCCTCCGCCAGTCCTACCTCATCTAACACTACCACAGAAGCAAACGTGTCTAAAGTCTTTCCCTTGTTTTTACTTTCTTGCAGTTCACTGCATTGCTGAAATGTCGCCAATATTCCCTCAGGGGTAGACTGTGGGCTACACTGATATGATACCAACTGAATCTGTTAAAAATGTTAAGAGACACTTACTCTGCGCCCTATGCCCAGACAACTAAGTTGAGCCTTAATTACTTACTAAGTTAAGAAATGATTAGATTATGAAGTAAAATAGCTTTTGAAATGCATTTTCTCAAGTATGTTTCAAGGCTCTTCTTTGACTAAACGTTGCTTTGGTATAACCACGTCCATAAAGTAGAAGAAGAGAGGTAATTTTTTGCCCCTTCAGATTTTGATATTCCTTTGTGCAGTTTCTATAAAGATGTAGACAAGATAATACTAAAAAAGAAAAACCATTATGGATCAATTTTCAAATGGATTCAACATAGGTGGAACCTTGGTAAAACTGAATCCAGTCTTAAGGGGGTTAAGTGCTGGACAGCCTTACTTGCTTCGATCATACCTGCTTAAAATGTTTGAAAAGGTTATGTTTGGATCTTCCTCCATGCATATTGTCTGCAACAACTGCTTTGGCCAGTGATTTAGAGCTCCCCGGCTTACCGACGACAAATAACGGGATCCTCAGCTCAATACACACCACCATCATAAACACATTTTCTCTCAAGGCCTCATTGCAGGCAATGTTTGGTCCAAGTTCCAGCTGTCCCATCAAAGCTTCTTGACATCTTTAAAAAGAGTTGCAGACACCATTTAACTTTTATTACGACTACACTGATATGACTATTTCGATAGACGTTGACTCACGATAAATGAAAAAGCAAATGATAAGCTGTGGTCAAATTAATACTTCCCGTCATTACAGGTGTTCTCGAAAGTCTAGTTTTTCAGCAAGCTGGCCAGATAAATAAAAGCTTTTTTCACAGGCTTTCTAGGTCAAGAGACCCCTAAAGTCTCAATGATTTGTGGGCAACTCCGGGTTAATTGTCCATTTGGCACAGACACAAGCACAAGCTGCAAATGTATATTTCTAATAAATTCTCTTAGGTTAAAATTGAAAGAAGTTTTGGAAACTGATGCTTCCCCTTTCATCCAGCAGTTTTTTTTTAGAGTGAACGACATCATTTGCATAATATCGTCAACGAGTCAATATTACCGACATATTTCCCGTTTAATTCTTTCAGCGCCGCCAGGAAGCCTGCATGGTGGTCGGAATGAGTTTGCTACTGCCTCGCGGTACTCTTCCCTCTCTGTTAACCGTGCTTGATAACAAACTCCAAGAGCAAGAATCAAAGACCAAGTGATCGGGTCAATACTGTCGTCAATATCAACCTGACAACAATCAATACCAGAATAAAGTTTCCTTCGAAACTATAGCCTTACTTCGGTAGGTCTCGCTACAATCAGTCACAACTTTTCTTTATTTTATCGGACCATCATAAATTTTTTTACATTAAACAATTTTGCAACAATGAGTGGATGGAAGGGTGTAATACGTGGGGCTGTGATGAACGTTAACCTTGAGAATTGTAAGGCCGCAAAATTAGTAAGCGAAAAACCAAGTGTTATCTGTTTTCCATTGCGGGGTTGATACCAAGAAAAACGTAAGGCATCAGAAAAATTGCAAACATAGCACTAACCGGAGACATGCGCAATTGCTAATCAAAAGAGTTTTTACCATTGGTATCTATATGCTACAGAATAGTCTTGGATAACGTAAAAACAATTCTTACGTTTTCTTCCTCGAGCGATTCATCTAAGGATTCTACATGGTGGAACATTTCCAGAGGATTGACTCTTGAAGACAGTTGCAGAGGCTCTTGCGTGGGCCTGCACTCTGCAGAAACTGTTTCCTTGGAAGCAAGAGAGAAGTCCGGCTCACACATAGACTCACTAACGGCGGGTTGCTTCTCTCTTTTCTTTGTGTCTGCATAGTCAAATATTTGTGTAGGCTTGCACTCTACAGATGCTGTTTCCTTGGAAGAAAAAGGGATGTTTCGCTCCCACATAGACTTGCTAACGGTGGATCGCTTTTCTCTTTCCTTTGTGTCTGCATAGTCGAATATTTGCGTTGGCTTGCACTCTGCAGATGCTGTTTCCTTGCAAGCAAAAGGGAAGTTTCGCTCACAAAAGGTCGCGCTAACGGTAGGTCGCTCTTCTCTTTTTCCTGTGGAATTAACTTCTATGAAAGGGCAAACCATGCTCAGGCGATCTCGGAGACTCCGACAGTCGTTATGATTTGTTGCTGCAGTTTTTTCCTGATCGCATTGGTCGTCCTCAGAATCAGAGAGAGTTTCTTTGACATCAGTTGAATCTTCTCCAGAGTCAGAGTCACTCTCACTCTCGCTCTCTTCTTCATTTTTACGTCGCTCCTCTTCCATCAAACCAGAAAAATCTTGAAAGTGTTGGTAAAACCAGATCATGACCTCCATGGCTCGTTTAACATCACGTAAGCTCACAAATCTGCACTCATCCTATAGGAAAATGGAGTCATTGTGTAAAATTATTACGCTATGACTAAACTCTTTCAGTATATACCACACAAGGCGAACTGGTGACTTACTCAACAACCAGGGGAAGACTTTTTTGCAAAAGCGCGAAATGTAATAGTTATACTTGATTGCATTAGCTAAAAGTTTATAGGAAGCTAATAGGGCCAAAAACTGTAACAGATAAATTGACAAAGCACCTTTTTGTTTCTCATGAATTGTTGGGAGGCTGTTAAAACTGCTGCTATGGCAATAACCCAGTTTTCATCTTCCTGAAGACGACCTTCACGTACCTTTAAAGAAATGTAAGTATTCTTTAATCGAAAATAAGCATTATTCAAAATTAAAATTTGAGGAGGAGTTGTGAAACTATCAAGATTTCGACACGCTACTTGCAAGATTAAAAAGAAAGAAAGTGTTAAAAAAGTTGCCTCACAATGTATCTTGAACTGTTTAGCCAAAACATTTCGAACTCGTAATTTGCAAAATTTGCTATTCTCCGCTTTCCGCAACGGTATTTGTAACTTCTTTTTGATTCTTAACTCTACCGACGTTTTGCCTCACCCTACCAAGATATTATCTTTGGGGTTTTCAGTCTTTTCCTCGCGGTAATTTTCATGGATACTAAACAGTATTTAATTTGATGTGATGTGGCTCATTTAAACTTCAGAAACGAATTGTATAGAAGGGGGAACACTAGTTATTCTCCCTTTTCAAACGTGTTAGAATACATCGCCTTTTTAAACCACAAGTACATCTACTCACAAATCTTCTAACAATTTGACGAGTGTAAAGTTCTTCCACTTCGGCATTCAACTGTCCAAAATCCCACACAAGACTGCGCATGCTTTCTGGCAAAGCATGCACTCGATACACAAGGTGACGCAATGGGATTCCACCTATATAATTGCACAATAAAAGTAAAATCAACTAAAATAAATTAATGATTCCAACTCAATATCGCTTGATGAAAAATCTTACCAAGGCTCTCTGTAGTTTCATCCGCTTTTATGTGATAGCCCAATCCTGCGGTCTCTAGTTTACGTATCATTTCTTTCGTATGCCTGCCGAGAATATTTCTTAGTTAGGCTTTGCTGTGGTTTAATGATGCAATCATCAACAAAACTACGCATTTCGTCAAGTTTTCCTGAAAATTTTCCATTACTCATTTATAATTCTACTTTTAAAATTACCGATTTCATAGAGTTAGCGCTGAACTTACTTCCGATATGGATTGCAAGCCACAACGAATTTCAAATTGTCACTCAGGGGACGACCATTACACCTTCGATCCACCATAATCTCTTTTATCATTCCCAAAGCGTCAGTGGTGTTTGCCTCATCAAAAAACAAAACAGTGTCGATTTTTTTTCCGAGACGTTCATTCTTGACAGCCACTGTCTCAGCATGAAGTACGTTCCTTTCTATGTCTTTGTAAGTGGTGCCGCCATGGACCTAGTGAAAAAAAAGGCATCAAGTCTCGCAAACTTAACCTTTTCCGCTTTAAATGACATAGAGAAAGAGAGGTACAAGCTGAGACACCGAACCCTTCATACTGGTCTTTCTCCTGAGGCTATACCGCTTAAGTGTTGTTATATACATTTTCATAGCGTGCTAGTTGGGTAGTTCAAGGATGAAGAACGAATGGACGCACAAAGATTTGATACCCTGACGAAATCTCGTAATCTTGGAATTTTACTCGAAGACCCTTGAGAATTCCGAAATTCGGGTACATTTAACATAAGAGAAATAACCTATGGAACAATGCAACCTGGGGGATTTAGTCTCTGATCATGTTCTATTTGGTCTGGAGAACTTTCCTTTTTGTACGATAAACAATTTGCGGTGAAATTAATATCCTTACGAGGGACCGTAAACAATAGCAACAACAACAACATACAGCTACGAAAAATAACATATGCGAAGCTTCAATGACATGACTTGCATTGAGCTTCAATTTCTCTTTTGGGACAGCTGTACTCTGGGGACATTCTATTACCAACATCAAGGTACACGCATTTTGGTTCCGACCCAAAAAAATCCCTTATAACCTTTTAATAGGTATATATCGCCTTCACTGATGGAACAACTCTATTCAACTTCTTTTCTAGTACTGGAAGTTTCCTCAAAACGGAGATTCAACTTTTTTATTTTTGGTTTCATGTTACCAAGCTACGCAGTTGAATTATGTAAACTTATAACAGTTGGTCATTGACAGCATTTCACTACAAAACAGGAAATAGATTCTATAGTTACACCTTCATTAAGAGCATGTTTCTACGTTCCTCCACCTCTCCCTCGGTCTGCAGTCCGCACAAATACCGAATAAGTCTTGTCTTTCCACATCCTGTTTCACCCATGATTACAACTGGGATGTTGCATCTGAATCTCATGTGGATGGCTAGAATTTTCTTCACATTATCACCCGTCAATTCGTATGACTCATCCGGGTCATAACCGCACTCGATCGCCATGACAGAACACAACAATTGAATTTTGTCAACCCTGTTGTAAGAACAATTACAAAACTCTACTAAAACTGAATTTGCACTGATAGGATCACTCACTTCCCATAAGAATTATTTTGGGAAGGCCGTTCATCTCGTCACCTGGCATTTGTAGCAAATGAAAAATTTCGAGAACGAATTTAAGCTCTACTGTTATATAGGTTCAACGCCACCAAAATGGAATCGTATGTTAAAAGTGCCTGACTTTGAGCAATCAAACCTAGTGGAAAACTTAAAGATGATTGAATAGAGGGGCGCCGGAGAGAAAAACTGTAAAGGTATACAGAAAATTCTAGCGTGCAATTCAGCGAGTTTCAGAGAAAAAAGTTATTGTCGACCTTTTTGAATTTCCGATGTATGCAGCGAAAATGTTTCCTTGACAAGTGCATTCGTTACAGAAAATTGTCTACACGTTTTACAAGTAGGAAATGCGAACTGCTGATAGCTTAAAAATTAGCTTGCAGTCCATTGAAATAACTTGCATGCAAAGCCACCATATAATGTTCATGAATACCTACTTCGAATAAGACTCAAAGTTGTTGTCCAAATCCACTTTCTGCACATGAAGTCCTGTTCTAAGGGGTCTTGACATGATATTCCGCTTAATGATTTCTTTGGTCTTGGGATCTAGAAGATTTCCATTTTGATCAACTTGGAATCCCAGGAAAGTCATGGTCGCATGATCCGGGTTAAAAAAGATGTATGGATGAGGGCTAAGTTCAGAAAGGAATAGCAAGAAATATAAGGATAAACATTTTTATCAAAGTGCTCGATCTGCAACATAATGAGGTAATCTGTAACACAAATTGAGAATTCTGTAGCACAAATGAGGTAATCCATAGATAAAAAAGTCAGTTACCTGGTTTCCCATCGCCTTCGTAGCTGGAAAGGAACAATTTCTTGTTCATCGTATGATTTAGCTGTTTCCCCAAGGGAGTCCTTAAATACATGGCCTTCTTTGTCTGTTAATGATCGCATTGCAAAATCCTGATACAGAGCGACTTAGTGTAAGCAGAACTCAATGATGTTTGTTAAAACATGTATACACGATTCTACAATGGTTGCCGCTCATATCTGCCTCTTGAATACTTTTCTTACCTCAGACATAATTATCATAAATTTGACCACAAAAGTCTTCAATCCTTGTAAGGTGTCCGCTGTTAGCGACGGGTCACAGAAAGCACTTTCCTCGCAATCACTAAGCTGGCTGTTCAAAAAGTTCACGAAATTACGAAGTTCTGACCAGGATGGGTTGGATACTCCACAATTCCTAATAAACGTAGACAAGCCATGAGTATTCCAAAGACAAAACAGCAAAAAATTTCAACGTGTCATTACACATAGTTGTTGAACGTTTTCTTAAACACTGAACTTTAGAGATGAGCGTTGGAAACATCGTTTGGAACTGTTACCACGACGCAAGGACCAAGTGTTTGAATGAACACGTTTCTCTAAGACAAATGATGCATCTCGCACAAACAAAGTTGCAAACCTTATCAGCGTTTCAAGACATTCCGCTGGGTCCATAAGTTTTCTTTGAGGGTTAAAGCGAAAGCTCTGGATGACCTCAGGGTTCGTTTCAAATAGGTGAAGATACCACCAGACACGCTGAACTGCGTTGCTTAGCAATTCTTCTTCATCAAACGACGGCCGGCTAATCTCTCCTTGCCCTGGCAAAATATAAGTATAACTAAGTTTTGCTAGTGTCATTAAAAAATTCCTCTGCATTTATTGGGCAGACTAAAACTCGAAAAATTACTGTAAATACCACGTTAACTGTTTAAAACTACAACATTTAATGTGGCAAGCAAAGGGAAAGGATGAAAATTCCCAAATATATTATATTCCGGGTAAACGCAAAGCTGTAAATGATATCAATCAAGTTCCAGCTCACACTCCTCCTGATGCGTTATAAATGGTACACCGACACAAATTTGTACAAACAATTTTGAATCTTTAGGTCAATCAATAATTTAAACCTACTCTGGCCTTTCCTTAAGGAAGGAAGGGTGTCTTCTGGAAGACAACACTTGACTTGTGGGAGAAGCTCATGAAACCTGCATGCCTCCGTTGACTCTGTTGAATTCTATTTAATGAGATACAAAGGTAAAAGAAATCTGCAAGTTGTTATCCTTTTTTTTTATAACATGGAAAATTTTGAAATTACCCGAAGCCGGGGCCTCATGAGGTGATTATTAAAGTCGAACAAAGCGGTTTGTCTATGTTTCCAGGCTTCAGTGTTCGTATAAATTCACGTATTGCGTCAACAACTTAAAAATACCTAACAAAAAATGTTACCATAGAGGTGGAGTTAGTAATTTCCACGATATACAAGTCGTAGGAGTTCCTCCTCCAAACGCGCCCACAATCATCTGTTAGTTCACCCAAGATCAGCAAATTGAAGAGCAGTGTTTCAAATTCTGGCGTGACCTGTCGAAAGAGGTCATAAGAGTTAAATCAATTAACGTAAGAGGCCATTATCGATATCATTATTCAACTTCCATGTGATTTCCTTTGTTTTATTCCCCCAAGCCTCTGAGCCAAGATCGAATTTGGATGTATCGAAAATGGCCTATTATATTAAGCAAACAAATTCTGAGAAATAGTTGGTCTAAGTGATGCAGCTTCTCGAATAGAAGCATTGATTTCGGTAATCAACATAAGGTTCAATCGATTAATTCGCAAATCAATAATGATTTGGGAAGATACGTTTATGTGAAAAACGCACCGCAGAGGAACGGTCGAGGTGGAAAATCCTGGACAAAGGTAGATCTGAAGGGAGAGCATGGGGCAGAAAGAAACCAACAACATCTGCGATCTGTGCATGTTTGTCGTGGAATGGAATTGTGACACGCAGAAGAGGTGGTTCTTCATTCTCCTCTTCCATTGTCTTGACAACAAGCCGGTTGTTTGGAAGAGCCGCCACCTCTTGTGCCAACCTCAGCACAACCAAACTTTTTCCTACTCCAGAGTGGTCAGAAGATACTACTCGAACATTAAAGCTTTAAAAAAAACAGCAAAGAAATATGTATCCGTCAGCTAGGGCGCAGGGGACTTTGTTTGCCTCAGAGAAAGAAAAGGGCAGGTAGTTCTTTGGATTTAACAAATAAAACAACATGCAAATCCATTTTTCCACATTGCTTATCTCACTTCTACTACCATCAGAAATAAATTAAACTTAAAAGTACTTAAACATATTGCGTCAGATCATGCTTCAATGATACTGTGCAGATAAACACGACTATATACTTTAAATAAGAATTAGATTATTTGGAGTGTCTCCCTTAAGATATCATTAGTCTCGTACCCTGCAATTTTTTGAAAAATCTGGAAAACAACCTTATCGCCTCTAAATATTATGCATTTTTTGAAACGAAACACGAACATGCTTTTCGTCTCTCATTCTCATCGAGTTACTGTATATCTATTTTTCCCATTTCTCAAACTATCAACTGCGAATGATGATACTAAAACCTGGGAGGGATGAAACGTCTCTGGTCAAAAAGGTTGTTACAATAATAAAATTTAAGTTTCCCGTTATTTGAACCTACTTTGCCGCTCGATTAACAGTTGCAGCTGGATTCCAAATAACGTGCTTCTCATGATACTCGCCAGGGATCTGCTCTGGTGCTCTAAACTGTTTTTCGATGTAGCGGCGGAGCTCGTCTGGTCGAGGATATCTTGGCATTAATACTTTGTACTGCTCCAAACAGGCAATAATATGAGCTCGCTCTTCGTTTTCGCTACTGCATAGAACAACAAGGGCCAATTCTGAAGATATCGAGAGGGAAATTAACAAAATATTAGGGTAGGTAAATCAGTGGACGCAAACTTTGGTTTGATTGTTTACATTTTCTTCTCAGGAGCCTCTGTTAGTTTATCAAGGCATAGGAAAAAGAAAGTGAAACAGGAGCATAGAAAACGAAAATCTTAATCGGCGTAGCTTTTACACCCAGCCGAGACGCAAATTGTCGAACAACACTTACTTTCAGTATGGGGATATACTTGCATCAATGTGTGTAAACAGTCCACCACCTTTTGGCTGACGTCATAGTCTAACAGATCACCATTCACCAGACAATGCAGTTTGTGTCTATCGCCTACCAGGGCTCGACGCCATAGCAACTCCACCTAGACAATTGTTGACCATTGTAAATGTGTATGTCATTTTAATTACCAAAACGTTTCTAAGAGCGCAATGGGTCCTGTTACACAGATTACACGCATAATCGAAAGAAACATTTTAAAGAAATTTACGTATACATGTAGCTTGGTCAGTGGCTTTTCCGCTCGCGCAAAGTTTAAATAATTATAATGAATTTTCACTTTACTAGCACTACCACTAGCGTATCTAAAGAGCGTCCGAACCTCTTCGGATGTCGTTTCAGTTGTGCACACAAGAACTTCGTCACTGTTTGGCAAACTCTGAACATTCTCGTCTTTATAAAGGTTTAGAACAGCAGCAAATATTTGTTCTGCAATGAGCAAACATGTAAATAATAAATGACTGAAGTGGCCAGGATGGATAGTATAAAGAGATAAGCTGTGCCAAAGGTTTAAAAGACAATTTGGTAAATGATGGGGAGACAGACTAGTAACGAATTCATTCAGGGTGGCTAACTTTCTTGAAAAAGTCGCAACACTGTGATTTAAATCAGATAGGTGAATATCTAGTTTTGTGATTTTCGATGCGCTTAACAAAACAAATCAAACTTTCCCTTCCTTTCCAGTCATGCAGACTAACGAAATTCGTTAAAGAGAACTGGGATGTGCCTAGATACATGCATGCAAACAGAGAAAAGTTATAATATCAAGAAAGAAGTTAATCGAACATCTTTATGAGAGTGACTTACCCTTGGTTACGAGCACGAGGTTCGGCTCTCCTAATTTCAGGTAACTTGGGAAAGCTCTTCTTTCTAGACTTCCTTCTATAATGAAGAGGAATCGTTTATGCAATGGTTGCTTGATATTTTCTTGAAATAAAAATCATGGCTTATAAGCCATATTCCTGCTGTGATTTGATTGAAGGCTGGAGATCACATTTTACGATGGTAAGAAGCTAAGATAAAAATGACGTTCTCACTAAACTATTCCAAAAAATCGCTGTAAGTGTGTTTATCAATTGCTGAAGTAATCCTATATAAAGTTATTTGAAACCCGAATTGAACTTATTCTTGGTCCAACAATACCATCACACCCATAATCATCATGGAGAGAAAGACAAAATTCGATTGAAGGCAACATGATATATGACCAATAAATCGTGGTATTAAAATACCTTTTTTAGCTGCCAAGTAAGACAGAAATACGCCTATTTCCTCTAGACTGAAAAAGGTGCCCCCTTTTGTTTCGTCCAGGTTTGGCTCGTCAGGTAAGCTCAACTCATCGTCACTGCTTCCTGGTACACTGCCACAATAACAAAAACGACAAATGTTTAATAGAAGCAAATTAAGATGAGGGAATACTAGAAAAATTAAGTCACAAAAAGCGTTCGGAGAGAGGAGACGGAAGTAGCGCTACTGAAATCCTCGCTAAACGCCGCTTCAGCGTTAAAAATCAGACACGCATTAATTTGTCAAGTACGTAATTTGAATCCCTGAGAATCTTTAACTTTTGGCGTAATTATCTGGTCTTACAAAGTAATATCCAGTGGTTTCCCTCAGGTTGGGGAAATTTTGCATGACGCAGAAAACTACCCAAATTTTCATGATAATCAGGTGTTATTATTTAACAGTAGTTCGGATGATCAATTGAATTAGCAATATCTGGTAGGTGTTTATTTCATCATTAGGTGTACTTAGTCACCTTATCTGTTCACAATCAGAATTCTGGGATAATTGCAACAACTCCGCATCTGAATTAGTCTTCTGATCTACGATCTTACGGAATCTGGGGTCTCCTGAAGCTCTCTCAAAGAGTTCGTCCACAAGGTCGCTGTCTTCCATGTTTTGCAAACACCACAAAACATGATCAGCTTCCTTACTTTGCAAATTGTTAGCAAGAGCTGCCACGGCTAGACGTTCAGGTTCTGAATGACTTAACTTCTCCACATTTCTAAGAAGGCTCTCGTATTTCTCGATAATCTGCACTTCATCTGCGGAGTTGTCTTCTCCGTCTTGACTTGATAGAGAAGCGATTTGAGTTGCATCCCCCAGAGTGTCTCCATCACTGAAGTGACTAAAATCTGGCGATAAGATCCCCGCATCCAGAAAAACCTCTTGTAATAATGACTGGTGGATGCCTGGACACACCTTTTCAAGAAGACTATAAACTTGAAGCCGATGTAGATATTCCATGGTGGAACTGTATTTCAGACCCGCGAGCTCCTTGCGCAAGAAAAGAAGCTGTTGTATAGTGAAAAAGTTCAACTCGTGGTACTTCTTTCTCAGTGAGTTAACGTGTTCTTTACATTCTTTGTAACGATGATCGAATTCTATGCTCTTTGACTGAATATCAACCAGGACCCTCTTCCCCATAACGTTTTTGCATTTATATTCTCCTTTCCAGTCGAGATGAGACACATCACCGATTTCACAGAGATTCACATAAGCCTGAGCAAGTTGAACAACGCCTTGTAATAACTAGAAAGAAAGAATGTTATTGAAAATATGCTATTTTGTGGGTTTTATTTCAAGAATGATAAAATTGTACTACAATTTGTTTTAAATAAATGGTTAACTATATGTTGTGTTAAACGTTTATCGGAGCTTCTATATCCCTTTTTTGGCTTTCCACCCTCCCTTTGAAGATTTTTTGACATTTAAGGAGTCGATGTAAAGCATTGGTTGACAGTGTTCATAAAAAAATTCATCGAAAAAGTTACATAGAATTAAACTAATAAATAAGGCAACAGCAACATGATGAAAATCAACTAAAAACTAGACTGAAAAATGCGCCAATCCATCAACTACCGAGACTTAAGAGAGGCGATAAAAAGGCCTCGGAAGAGAAGTAAGGCGGCTAAAATATTGGGAATATCATCAAAGAGGAAAGCAAAACTAAAACCGACAAATGAACTCAAGATATAGATGTAGTTGTAGTCTTATCAATGTCTTCCGTAACAAGGTTTAGTACGATCCCGAAAGGGTAACGTTCAACATATCAAACTGCGCTCGTATACTTTTCGTGAAGCTACACCGATATCTCACCTCTCCAAAATTTCGTATGTCCTCCTGACCCTGTGAATCCTTTCCTGAGATGAGAGCCAGTTTACTTTGCAGTTCCTGAAGTTTCTCCAGATTGAATTCTCTTGCCTGACCAGTATTCTTGTCTGGTAGTAGTAGTAGGCTAATAACAGAGTGAACATTTTTCTTGTCATAGAGCTGTGTAGATGTCCCGTTGTCCAACTTCCCTATAGAGTAGACTCCTCTTGCATTTATAGCTTGGGCTAATTTGAGAGACGACATGGCATGCTCATCCTTGATTCCCTTAAGCCACTGAAGATGATCACTGATATCTTTCTACAAGAACAGGAAGTGCAAACTATCTCCTGAACAAATCAAAGTATGGAACTTTACACCACTTTACCCCCTAGCTCCTTTTCAAGTTGTTTATCATATCATCCCACATAACAATAAGAAAATATTCGTCGTAAAAACCCCTGTAACACGCCAGCAAACAAAAAAGCATACTTTCAAATATATACTTTGGAAAATGTTTGTTTTGCTTTTCTCTCCTTCAAGGCGCTCAGAATAATAGTAATTAACATCTACTTATATTAATTCAAGACAGTCCATTACAAGAGGAAGATCACACCTATGAGTTTTAATAAATTAATTGAGTCGTCAATTATGAAAGTCACCAACTTCATTTTGAAACATAAAAATTACACGCTGTTCGACGGCTTAATTCATTTGGTTTTGCCTTGGTTCAAATATCTTATGGACTCTTTTTTTCCAGATTTTGTGAGTATCGTATGAAGAATAGAAAATGAAAATCAAATTGCTTGAAAATCCTCCACCAAAGACTGTTCCAGCTGCAACAGTTACGAGAGAATTGTTCAAAATAATTGTGAAAAGTGTAACTTGTGGTAACTTCTGTAAGTATGGGGAAGAATGTTTAACTCGATAGATGCAGATTCGGGCCAGTCCCACGTGACCGGCTGAATAATTAAAGTCACTCGCTGAAACGCAATCATGGTGAAACATTTATTTGATTTCGAAATTGCATCAATATGGGATATCTCCTGGAAACCAGGTGTTAGCCTATGGAGGGGAGACATTTTGATGTTTCGAGTCGCGTACAAAGTAAAATTACGTAAAATCCTTCATACAACCTGAATGACTTGTTCTGAAGAACTTAAGAACTTTTAAAATGAACTTTTCAGCGATTGAGTCATTGTGCAAATATCTTACCAGCTTCACTGGCAAGGTTTCGTTCCTTTTCACCTCTTCCCAGACACCTGAACACATCTCCATCAATTGCTCGAAGTCAGCGTGTTTGTTCGCCAGGTCAAATATGAAAGGTGCGAATCCAAGGGCAGTGGTGTGCAGACAGGAGACACGATCAGTTTGGATGTCACTTTCATCAGCGGACATCATCGCCAGATCTACCAGTGTTTTCACTTCCTCTCGACCTGAAGATAATTTACAAAGTCAGAGTTTAAACTGTGAGTTTTTAAAAGTTACTGAGTAAAATGTCATATCAGGATACTGTATTCTCCTTAAGTTGCGTGCGTAGGTTCTTAAATCAGGCGGTTGGCTACTGCTCGATGAGTTAGTATATAAGTCCTAACTTTTCTCTAATTATCGGCCTCTTGTAATTTACTTAAATGTCAAGAAGTAGTTCGAGATACCTTTCACTTCTTCCCGAAGCCATAATATGAATTCCTTGCATTCAATGACAGTCCTCAAGCATTGAATCATTGGTCGTGAAACACTTTTAAGTGCTCTTGCGACTTGGAAAATCTCATCACTGATGGCACCGAGTAAACGTTTCTGAAATTCTTCATTCATCTTAAAAAAAACAAACACAGATGGGTCGTTAAGTGCTATACACCATAGCGACTATGGCAAAGTAAATCACAGACTAACAGTTAGTCACTGCAGTGGTTAAATACAATACTTCTCCTTACAAAACAAAGAAGACTTCCTCTCTAGCTTTTTTATAAATTCATTTAAAATGTACCTGATCACGAAAATCATTCAGCAATTGGAAGTCTCCCTGAAGTTGCATTGCTTCTTTGAAATCTAAAATTGTGGCTGCAGCATCCTCGCACTCTTTCAACTTATGGCATTGTTTGATTTGACCAACACGGCCAAGAAGAACGGTGTCAATGTCGTCTTGTTCGGAAAATTTGATCACTACTGCCTTAATTTCCCTGTCTAAAGCCTTGGGGTCATCACTGAACCTGTGGAATTTCTCATCTACTTCTTGAAGACTGACTTCACCTTTAATAATTCTTTCCCATAGGCCTCGCCATTTTCGATAAGAAGGCAGCCAAAGACGCTCTTGTACTTTGTCTATCGTCAAAGTCCCGTCAAACCCAGGCTCATCTTCGCAAAAATCGGCGGTCCTTTGACCACACATTTGCCAAAAATCGCGGAAAAGAAGGCTATGGTGAATATCATGCAATGATTGTATCATTTTCTTGTTCGTTATCGTAAGATCAAAGAACTTTACCACAGGTTCATCTCCATGTCGACGTTCATGGCAAATTTCAAGTATTTGACGAGAGGGCAGGACCATTTCCAATTTCTCCTTGATATTTTGTAGGTCAATATCCACTAAAAAGAGAAATTTTGCAATCAACAGTTGATTTCAGAAACATGCTGTGACATGGGCGGCCTACTATTCAATTTTTCATGGGAAGTGCAGTAAATGGTTTGAGGCCTGGGGTAACATGTCATAGTGTACTTTGATCGTCCGAGTGTAGTCTTAAGAAGGACTGTTGTCAGCTGCTGAAAAAAACTATTCACTTTATTCTGATGATGACTTCCGCTCGTGAAACACTGTGGGGTTGTCGAACGTCAGTCACCACTACTGACAACAGTCCTTCTCAGGACTACACTCACCCCAATGATCAAACTACTCTATTAAACATCTTCTTGGTAGATAAAAAACTTTGAATAAAATGCATATGGGAGCAATTAAGATAGATTGAACACAAACACAGATTCATCTCTCGCGAAGTTTTATCTTGGAAATTAAACGACACTTGTGTTCAGAACTTGAGCTCTCTATGCATCAAAAGTCTGCATCACACTGGCGGTGTTTGCAAAACATACGAGCTTCATAGTGGCGGGGGAGGTTTCACAGGAAATAGGCTTGTGAGGAAGTAAAATATTTCAGTAATATACCTGATTTGATAAGAGAACACATGTGAATGAAAGTAGAAACAGCGTCTCTTTCCTTCTCAAAAGCTTCGAGCTCCTCAACGCGCATTTCAAGAAGGAACTCCACACCCGCTGTTTCTCTCTGGTTCCCGCTAGCCTCAATGCCAGCCGGAACTTCTTCCTTTAGAGATATGTTCTCTGGAACTTCAGGTAGCAAAGAGAACAACTCCAAAAATCTGTCACGGTCCTTATTGACAATTCGTAATGTGCTCACATTAATTTCACCACTTCTCAGGCAAAGTGCTACGTGTTCGACAAGCGAGGTCGCAAAAACACGAAGTTCCAAACCGCCATCGGATAAGCAAGCATTTCCAACACTTTCAGCATCTGGGAGGATACATCAATGTTAAATATTTGTCTTAGCAAGTTTTGTAAGGTTAGTCTCTGAAAATATTCTAACTTGTTAAGTATAACTGAATACTCTAGCCCTTTTAACAGATGTATTAGCTATAGAACGAAGTGAAAACATCGATCTTTAATTTTAGGCTTATCAGCAGTAAGCTATGACAACGCGCATTGGTTTTATACTTAAGTCAAATCCTACTACTACACGTACCAAAATGTTTAAAATATTGTGCCATTGGCTTCCATGTAAGAATATGCTCCAACACTTTATCTTGAGAAAGGTCTCTTTCGTTAGTGTCGGTGGGCCAGCAGGTCTCCAATAGAAGGGAAAAGAGTTCAACAACTTCAGAAGACTGCATCTTGGACGTTGCAAGATCTAAATCTGCCATTTGGTTCTCCAGTGTTCCGCTCTGAAACAAAGTTTAAGTAAGACGTATTTACTCCGAAAAAGAGGGATTCCAATGAGGCCTCTAATCTTTACAAGCCTTAGAACACTCCTGAAAATGCACCCACATTTTAGGCTTCAATTTCGATATACAGTCCTTTATCCCTCCTAGTTCCACATCCTTTCTGCAACGTTGATTTTATTATCTTTGACTATTTCCTGCGCATCCACCTAAGAAAAACGTCATGAAAGTACTATGAAATGTGCACCTTTTTCGTGTTCCGAAGAACCTTTCGCCACGATTGTATAAATATGGCGATCCCAACGTGATATCACATTTTCATCTTGACGTACAAAACTGAGTTGAGCTTACCTCTAGGAGGAGATCTGCAGCCTCGTAAGCGGTAGCCTTGAGACATTCAGAGATATCTAGATGATATATTTGTCGGTCCAAAGAGCAGAAAAGTTTTATGACATCCCCCTGTGTCAACTGTGGTTATAGAATGAGCATGTAAGAGTTCATTGGTGTCAATTAATTTAATGGACGATTGAAATTTGAAACATCAATTCATGTTTCAATACCAGAAAATGCTCTAAACAGGTACTTTAATGGAGAATCATATTCGCCTTGCGGTTGTTGGACCTCGTTGTGAACTTAAGGAAGCTCCATGGGATTTTTGCTCAATGTTGGCGAGCGCGCTTGCGTATTGTTTTTCTAGAAAAATTTATGTTTTCGCTTTTTTAGATCACTAAAGGCCAATGAGCAAGGTTCTGACTATCGTTTATTTTACTTAAATATTATCAAAATTATTTTCACTATTAAGCGAAGGCTCCACGAAGGGAGGCGCTCGCCAGTACTAATTTGGCTTTGCCTTTGATTTTCTCCACTTTCCTTCGGTGAAATCTCTCAAAATTTTCACATTTTATGAAATTTGTCCTGCCGATCATTTAAAAGCATAAAAAATAGAGGTTAGAATGGTACTTTCCTCGCTGTTGGGAATTTTGTGTTTTCTTCCTTTATCTCGAATTTGGTCTTATGAATTTTTTCTTATCAACAGGCCCTAGGAAGGACAGATTTTTTCTGCAACGTTGATTTTATTATCTTTGACTATTTCCTGCGCATTCACCTAAGAAAAACGTCATCAAAGTACTATGAAATGTGCACCTTTTTCGTGTTCCGAAGGACCTTTCGCCACGATTGTATAAACATGGCGATCCCAATTCCACCGAAGAAAACGCGATAAATCTTGCTCGAAAGATCCCTATTTTCTTTGTCACGAAATATTACGTAGTGGAATAGAACTTCACCAAGATCTGAGTATACGTAAACTTTAAAATCTGCTGCATCATCTGTCGCCTTTTTAGCAATTTTTCCCAGGGTGTTTTCTTTTTGGTTGACCTCTTTTTCAGGCGCAGAAGGCCTATGGATATTATTGTGTGAAACTGTTAACACCTTTTCAGATAACAATCGTGCGATCGTATCGAGCCGCCATGTTTGTTTCGCACCCAGATCTCGCGGGCAAAAAAAAACCCTACGGGGCCTCCTGATGGAGGCTTGTAAACTTTGGAAATTTTGCGAGATTTTAGGATGCAAATTGAAGAAAATAAAAGGCAAAGCCAAATTATCGCTGACGAATGCCTCCCTTCGTGGAGCGTTAGCTTCATAATGAAAACCATTTTGATGATATTAACTACATCAAACGATAATCCGAACCTTGGTCATTCCCTTTTGATGGCTTTTAGTGACCTTGAAAAGCGAAAACATAAAAATTTTCGAGAAAAAAACATTATGCTGGTGGGCGCGTTAGCATCGAGCAAAAACCCTATGCAACCTCCCTAAATCAGGCCATTTGGGATCAAAAATATTGAAAACTAAACGAAACCAATCTAGACACCGACGCGCGCCCTTTTCACCCCAAAACCTGTTTCATTACGAGGGAAAGAAAAAGTTGGAAATTCACTCTTAATTGCCTGCGAGTGCACTTTATCAGTTTAAAGTTTACTGGTTGCTTGTTATAACAGAACCTTAGCCATTCATTCCGGAACAATTTTAAAATTTTTTTCCCCAATTTAATTGATAAAGGCTTGTCTAAGGTAGAGTACCCAGATTTCCCAATCACTGTTAATTGGATTTGGTGACTTCTTATATCCTAATGTGTAAAAGAAAACAACATAATTTACTTTAATCCCGAAATCTTCCAAAACATTCAACACCGTAGAAAGAAACCAGCAGAAAATTTACCTGATCCATGCGATATTTAAGTGACTCCCTTAATTTTTCTTGCCAAAGCTGCTGCAACTCATCGTCTTCAAGTTTTAAGGAGAGCATGGCTGTCCACCCCTAATAAATAATAGAAGATGTATTTGCCACAGATTTTATACTCATCGTAAAATAACGACAGAAAGGAATACCAAATCTCTTCCTTTAATTTGTATTTATACGCCCTGTAAACAGCGAAGGGGAGCAAGGTAATTATGTATGGTACAATCAAGAAAAGAAGCAGGGAGACAGACAAAACATCAACTACAAGGAAGCAGGAAAAGTGAACAATAAAACGAACAATGACTGCCTGAATAATGCAATGCTACCTGTAATTCTTCATGGCGTTCATGTTCTGTTTTGTTAATCAAGGTTACGTGCTTATCTAAGGAGCCTCGTAAAATCTGTAATGCCTCTTGAAATAACTGTATGCTTTCTTCGACTTTCTTTTCGTCCTCCTTTGGAAGTGGAGAAAACTCTGCATTGGATGCACTGCGTTTTGCCATCACCAGGCTGCTCCCAAGAAGAGTGAAGATATTAGAGAGAATCTGAATTCTCTCCCACAAGATTGAATTGGGTTCCTTGAGTAGTCGACGTAGAAGATGCGCAGATGCTTTGGCTACGGACATAACGACGTAATAGTCGGCATCTTCCAATCTGCAAAAATAACGAATGTTAATTTAATTGCATTATAAACCTTGTTTTTCTACATTTCTTAAATCACCATGAAAAAGATATGTTGGCAATTTTACCACACCTTCTCAATCTTACACTTAACATTTATGGTCACAACATAAAACTAGTAAAAGTCCTAAATTATTACCTTCTTCAAATTGATGAGAAAGCCTACAATCTAGTAGTTACATGTCTTACCTGTCAAAATCACTCATGATTCTGGTATTCATCTCTCTTAAGCACTGATCGAGGTGATCCCACTAACGAGAGAAAGAAAATTGAAAAGAAACAATTGGAAAATAGGCCTTTTTTTCTTTTTTCATTTTATAAAATAATGTCAGGGGCACGCATAGGCCAGACGCTACTGCCCTTGACACCATGCAGTTTAAGAACTTCCCTTTGCTGACAAGTGTCTCAAAAGTCTTATTCGATTGCAGCTATGCGGCAGATGATGTTAGTGGCTCAAAGAAAAAGGAGGAGAAGAAGTTGACGCATATACCACTACCTCTTCGTCAGGTAAGGATTCTTCCACAACTCGAGTTATTGTCCATGCGACTTCATGAAGAGGTATGTGCACATCTCTTTGTAGCACCGTTGCTATGTCAAGGAGAGGAAGTGCCAACAGAAACGTCCTTATAAATAAGGGATCAAGCTCAAACATCGAACGGAGCTGAGAGAATAGATGTACCGGGTTGCTACTCCTGCAATCGTGATTAAATTAATAAACCATAAGAAAATTTAAACTGTCATCGCAAAAATTATTGCATTAGCAGCATCAAAGTTTACAATAATTGTCACGCTACCTAGCTTTAAAGCTCCGCTTAATTTGTTTGTAATTCTAAGAATGGTTGAAGAAGCTGTCACCGTTCGAATTTAAAAGTTTTATTCACCATTGCCGCTGCTTTCATTCACCTTCGTTGACGTGACCAAAGTCTTCAACAAGATGAGCAGGAAAGGACTGTGAAAAAACGAATTCTGAGCCTTGATTTTATGGTTATCATTACGTAACAATTTATGTCATTAACTCAACTGATATTATCAATTAAATTGAAACACTTGTACCTGGAAAAGGAAACCTGTCGCCGAACAGTTTTGAAATTCAGGCCTTGTGTTCCCCACCAGTTGTTATCTTCTAATGAACGCGGTTCTGGGGTCAACTCTTCAAAAGAGAATGGCTTACTGGTATCGGACAAAAAATGAAGCAATGGCATCGCAAATAACCAGTGAAAGATACCTCGACGATATTCGATGACGAATATGCAAAGTTGTAACAAGTAGTTGGCCAGAGAGCTGAGAAATACAAGTACAAGTTTTAGTACCCCTGACAAGTGTTATCACTATTCACAAATGATGGGTACATACATGTCTAAATATAATAAATTGTTTTAGGAGAATTCGTATATAATTTGGGATCACGCAATATATTAATTATGTAAAAAACCCGAAAAAAAAGGGAAAGTTGGGAGAAAGTGGAGAAATGAAGAGAGAATATTTAAGAGGGAAGATGTCTCTTGCTGTATGTAACATCAGAATATGCATGCTATCGTTGTAAGTGCCAACTTCTTGTCCAGCATGTTTAGTTTTTTGGTCATCCTTTTTTGAAAAAGGGATTAAAACAACCTTATCATCACTATCCCAATATCATTTAGCCTATCGACCGAACGTAAGTGAGAAGGACGCTACACGGTCGTTTGCGCACACATTTAAATTGACTTGCTTTTTTTTTCATGTTTGTTTGTTTGTTTTTTTCAAATTTCTCGGAAAACTCTGCAAGTATAGGAAAACAACAAATATTACCTTTGAGACTGTTCTTTCGGAAAGTGTCGATGTAAAGCGTCAAGCCCACTGCACTTTTTTCTCTCAGTATCGCCATGTAATAGGAGACATTCAAAAAGTTTCCTCAATTCATCATCTCCAAAAAAAGCTTGTTCATGGCCAACGGCGACGGATACAATTACCGCTGACGTGACAAGTATCCTGGCTTGAGATTCCTCATCCTCGGTATGAACTTGCTGTGTCTGGATGTTGCGGTTTAATTGCAGGGAGATGTATCCATGTAATACCTAATAACATAATAAAGCGTTTCAACATCAACTATACTGAGAAATGGGGACTTCCCGTAGTTACTTGCTGAAACGCGCACTTTATCAGTTCATGATACGTACTTCACCATTTCGCATTTCTATCCCGTGACTGTTCGCTCTCTTAACAAACTCTGCTTTTGTGCCTGTTATTAGTACATCAAAACGTGTTCTTCTACTTAACAGATACCTCATAGTATAGTTTTAATCAGTGTAATAAACTTTGATAAAACGTTTCACACCAGAATTCATAGTGTGTCTGCTCGCGAATGGTTCCTATGTAGACAAAAGACAAAAATCAACCTGTTTTTTCCCGATAAAGAAAAAATATTCAAAATGTGCGAACCTCTGTGGCACTAAAGCCATCTGGAATGCGCGGATAAAAATTACCGCCGTTCTCAAACTCGGCCCTCGACATACAATGGAGTACATTGTTGATTTTATTCAGTGTAGCGTGCCCATTGGTTCCTTCCTTTTCGGAGATTTCTCCCCATTTTGGGAGCATGGCCATCATCGCCAATCGGCGACCCTCTGCGGCATCACTGACTTTCCATTTAGGGAAGAGGCTGCGGATAGAATCCCAAAAGCTAGGTTGACTGAAGACTGCATCGTCATACTGGTGCCATGTGGCTGTAGAAATGTCAAAGGAAACAATTACTCGTCGAAAAACATGGAAGGAAGGGTGAAGTGAAGGAAGGAAAAATGGAAGAAATGAATGCAGTACAAATACAATATATAGATACAATATATAAATACATGAAATCAAATGCACATCATATCTAATTTCCCGAAGGTTTTCGGTCCAATTTGAAATACATAGAATATACCCTTAACTGTGGGTGCCTCAAAGCATTAATGCCTAACTATACATACGCAGGGGCTGAGAAGCCTTCACACAGCTTTACATTACCAAGAAGGTTTTGTTTTAGTCCTACCGTTGGCTTTAATTGAACTTTCAGGGATGCGTAGACATCGATTCACATGTCTCCCAGCATTTAATGGCCTGAACCCAATAAGACACTCCCAAAGATCCTTAACTGTCTTTCCTTTAGCATTTCCTTGACTGCTTGGCACCACAACATACTTATACGCTATCGATCGAGAGGCCTCGCCGAGAGTGAAATTAGCTTTTCCCTCGAGCAGGCAATTGTGGTCGTTCACTTTCCTGTAAATGACATGTAACAAACGATCTCGTCAAATCCCAAACGGTCAAGCAATATCAGTTTCTCTCTTCAAAATTTTATTTTTCATTTAGTTATTAATTATTTAATGGGAAACCGGAGAAGGTTGAAGTTTGCTAAAAGTGTCAAATTCGAAAAGGTTTTGACTTTCGAAATTTTGAAGGACGATGATGGAGTGAAGAGGCTCTTCACAACAATTGTTGATGATGTGAATCATCTTCTACCAGCTCTGATCCTGCATAGAAAAAAAAGACTTACACAGGGAACACCTAGATAAACGGAAAAAGGAATAAAAGTAAGGTTCATGAAAGAGCTTTATCGAATTTAAATACCTCAAAGGTCGCATCTCGAGCTGTCCAGTTCCAGAATTCCACGAGAATGGGCGGTCTCCACGCAAAAACACTTTGTCACCTTCATTAAATTTCACGTTAAAAGTTGGCGTCAGTAAAGCGTGAAAAATAACTGTAATTGATGCGTCTTGGCTTGTCTTTGTTTTCCCATTCAAATGTTGATCAGCCTTGGGTGGTTCATCTGCACAAGTTGTCTTCTGAACTCTGGATGTTGTAGTCAAGTTGTCACTACTCTTACTGTCACCAAGATTTTCATCTACCGTACCTGCTTCATTGGGGTCATTGGGATTTTTAGTAGCCTCGTTGCCTCCCCCACTGCCTCCCACCAAATAATGTCCATTATTGGTTGGCGGTGCTGACACTGCATCAGAATTAGTGACCATCGACTGGTTAGCTTGTTTATCGTCCTTCCCTAGTGGTATTGCATTTTGATGTGCGCCTGCAGTACCTTCGATGTTTTTGGTTGTTTGGTTGTCTTTCAAGGTATCGTCATCGTCTTTCTTTTCCTTTGGGCACTGAACTTTTCCGTGTTCTTCCACTTGTTTGGGATTGTTTACTTTCTCCCCGTCACTGAATTGGATAAGTATCTCTTTACTGTTTCGACCTCGGTCTTCCACATTGTCTTCAAGAGATTCACTACTACAGGGAAGACCAAAAAATCCTAATTTATTAATACTCTATTAGAGGCTTGCAAGGTTTAACAAGGAAGAAAGATATGTTACTTAACTTGGGAAATTTACAGCAGTAAAATATATCGAGATAACAAAAAATTAATCACGAAAAGAATGATTTCTTAACTCACTCCTTGCGCTGTGCTTTAGCTTCATGCTGATCTTTAATCTGAGGATCCGTCGGTACCTGAAAAACCAAGAGAAACCAACCGAGGCTATAAATTAGTTACTCACAGACATTGTGTGCACGCCATCACCACATTTCCTAAATACCTACGTAAAAGATTTCCAAGATGACTGAATATTTAAAGCTACAAAGAACTACTGGTTAGCTGTAAAATATACTTTGACGTTCTTATTGACAGAGACATCCAATCCGTAAATTTGCCACCTAGTGAGACTGTCACTTTCTAACAGGAAAGTAGGTAGACCTGTAAGCGTCCCAACTATATATCATTAAAAGAAACTGGTCCACAATGCTTCCCTCGGTTTCTTTGACTCAAAATGTGGGAGAGTAAGCAATGTTTAGAGAGGCCGTCAAAACACGGTCAGGTTTTAGAAAGTGATTTTTTGAGGATCCAAATATCTTTAAAAACAGCTACAAAGGTTTTTATCTGTTCATGTCGATGGATTTTTAGCAAAAGTTTATTAGTACAGCCTAAATCCCAGTTCTGCGGACGTTAGCTCTTACCGCTGTAGCCGTTGCACTTTCACCACGAGACGTTTCTGGTTGCAATATTTTTTCGCCAGCTTCCCGCTCAATGGCTTCCACTGTGTTTGCGAATTTCGGTGCGCCAGGAAAATT